TATTATTAAATCAAATATAAATTACTTCATTATTGTACATAAATTAAATTATAAAAAAGTTGAATTAAAAAATTACACTAAAAATGAGAAATTTCAAATAGTTAATTTGATATTAATATCGATATATTTTTGTCAAATTTTTATAATATCTTCAAACATATATTTTATTCTAAAATAAAAACATCATCGTTTTCTCAAAATCACATAAAGTCATATTATAACATTGAATGAGATAAAGAATAAAATGAAATATTAAAATCACGATGTATTTCGCTGCATTGCGCGAGTACGCTTCTAGTATTATAAAACATTTTACAAAAACTTTTAAAAACCGTTTTTGATACATAAAGTACTGTTGTTCAATGTATATTACTTAAAATTTAATATTACAAGTAAATTGTGCATAAGTATAACTTATTAAATATCTATTTTAAATTCGTATAACTAACTGTAGATAAACATAATCAAATATAAGATAAATATCTTATTTTAAATATAAAAAGTTTAAAATATAATTAGGATAATCATGAAGTTCTAACAGTTATTATCTTTATAAAAAAAATATATTGTTAAACCCAAAAAATAAGTAACTTCTCTATTAGACATAAATTAAATTATAATAAAAAATTAAATTAAAGAAATTGTACAAAAAAATAAGAACTTTTAAATAATTAATTTGATATTAATATCGATATATTTTTTATATCTTCAAATACATTTTTATTTAAAAGTAAAAATATTATTATCTTTATTAAAACTATATAAACCGTATTATATCAATAAAAAAATAAAACGAAACGTTAAAGTGAAGATGTATCTCGGTGTTTTGCGCGAGTGTGATTCTAGTAGTCTTGAATAGATATAGATATATATATTTTATATTCTAAGGTGTATTTGGTAAATAAAAATTGAATAAATAAATACCTTTTTTTAATCAATCATCTTACCAAAAACAAATTTCTGGATATCATGTAACCTCTATGTGTTGAGTAATTGTTGATGTCTCCTATCAACTTCTCGACGAATAGCAATTGTTATTAGAATAGTGATCGAAGCTCTTACCGTACCATCTTCAATATTATATTCTTTTCTTTTCTTTTCTTTTCTTATCACAAAACTAAGTATTCATACTCCACTACTACTTATTGCCATGGATTGCTTTAAATTCAGCTTATTAAGCCCAATTGCTGATTATCCCTCTCCTCTCCACTTGAATAATCTCTGTGCAAACCCAGACTATGGACTAATTCCATTTTTTTATGTTTTAATACATAAACAATATATTGATTTGATTTTGTAAAACAAATTTTGATGAAAAATGACTTTTTTCCCATTAGCTAGCATAATAAAACTTGCAGCTTCCATATTTTCTGGAAATCTCAATACTATTTATTTCCTTCCATTCAAAGACTTGATAATAACCATCTTATATACTACAAGAAATATTTGATCATGCAAATTCAAACCCAAATCAAGACCTCTCTATATGTGTATGTACCACTACCACTACCCATTCTTGTTTCAAAAACTGTAAATACTTTCTCTGTACATGAAACAGCAGTTTGGGGGTTAAATACAAGCTGAATGGTCACAGCCTACCATGCCACACTCACTCATCTCTTACTTGTTCCCATTTACAGAAACCAGGACCCCTAATAAGCCATTACCATTAGGATTTAGGAAATAAGCAATGGATGAATCTACTATTACCAAAAGGAAAAAAAAGAAAGATGAATCCAATCCAATCCAATCCCACCAACCAACATTCCCACTCCCATTTTCCTTTGTAGGATCATTACCATTCATGCAAGTTTTGATACAACCCTATCCCATGAAACCCCTTTTGTCATTTTCATCCACAAAAAGGAAAAAAAGGGAAACCATTGTCTCCTTAATAAGCTATATTACTATGAGTTGCCTTTTATCATTATTAAAAGATAGAGCTTGTCAAAGATTTTTCTCATTCATTACAAAACACACAAGCAGAAAGCCACTTCTGTATCCATCATAAATCAATTAAGAAAAAAGCACCATCTTTTACCCTCCCTAAGTACTGGTAATAATGATCATTTCATTTCATCTACAAAATTCCTCTTTTGAACTCATTCACTGTTAATCTTCAAGATTCAATTGCAACCACGGCATACAATATAAAACTAAAAACCTCTCCTTTTTTCTTTAGTTTGTTTAAAGATTTGCTTACCTTCTTCATATATATGCTTGTCATCAAAACCAACAAATATGGACTAAAACACACAGATATTTCCTGAAAATCAAATTTTTCATCCTCCCCCAAAATCATCATCATCATCTGAGATTGTTACACAAGTAAAATCAAGACAAAATTACAATATAACCAGAAAAATCAAGACGATGAAGAAAAATGTGGACGAGGAGGTGGAGGAAGTAGTTGATGGGTCGGATGCACCTGGTTATTACTAGCATGGCTGCCTGCTGCCCCGGTGACGAACGGGTGCCGCAACAACTGCGCCGCCGTCCACCTCCTGGCGGGCTCTCTTTGCAAACAGCAGGAGACAAAATCTCGAAATTCACGAGATGCCGTGGCCGGCGCTTCCGGTGGCTGCGACATACAGATTGCACACATCAGGCTAGCCCAATCGCCCTGTCTCCCAACGGCGAAGGGAAAACGCCCCAAATAGAACTCCAATATGCTTACACCGAGGCTCCAGATATCTCCGGCGTAGCCGTCGTATTTTCCATGATTGAGGTCGGTGTTTATTCTTTCAGGACTCATGTAAGCAATCGTACCGACAGAAGAATTACAGGGATCCATTGTTTGGGCCAAGATTCTTGAAACCCCGAAATCGGCAATCTTGACTTGTTTTTTGGAATTGATTAAAAGATTGGAGGGTTTGATATCACGGTGGACAATCTTACGGCGGTGGAGGTAATAGATACCGGAGAGAACCTGGCGGGTGAGATCGGCTAGAGAGGCTTCATGGGAGATGTGGGTCCCTTCAAGGGATCCGCCGTCCATGTATTCAAGAAGAACCTGGATCTCACCGGCGTGATCGAACATATCATGGCACTTGACGATGTTGAGATTGTCGACGTCGCGCAGGATCTCGATTTCGCGACAGATCTGGCGGCGGACGTCGTTTTCGTGGTTGCCGTAGATAACTTTGAGGGCAAAGAGGCGGCCGGTGGGGCGGTGGAGGACCTTGTAGACGGTTCCGCCGCTGCCGCTGCCGATTCTATTCATGCGGTCGAGTTCAGACAAGTTGAAGGATTGCTGTTTAGAGTTGGAGAGGAGTTGGGAGGTGGAAGTAGGGGCGAAGGAAGGGGGGAGAGGGAGGGGGAGGGCAATTTGGGGTTGACGTTGGGGCAAGGGAAGGGTTAGGTCAGGACGACGGCGGGGGCGATTGGCAGAGGCGGAAGGAGGCGGAGGGTGAATGGGCCTCATGATGGAATTAGGTTTGGTGGGAAGAATTTAGAAGGAAGAGAGGGGTTTGGGAATGGAGTTGATGATCATCATATTGGACCTAATCATGCAATTCGATTTGGATTGCAATTGCAAATGGAATTTCAATTTCAATTTCAATCTCAATTTCAATCTCAATTTCAATCTCAATCCAAGAGAGAGAGAGAGAGAGAGAAGGTTCTGGGAAACAAAAAGAAAAGAAAAGAGAGGAAGACGATGAAGACGCAATTGATACGCTCTCTGTTTATAAGAATGAGAATTTAGAATACCTTTTTTTCTCATTCATATTTTATTATTTATTTATTTATTTATTATTACTTCCGTTCCTTCTATCATATTATATCATATGATATCATATCTCTACTTACCAATTAATTGTATCGTTCTTTCTTTCTACATCATATTCATGAATCACAAATAACCTCAACTTACAACTTAACACATATTTCTCTCTCCACTTTTTTTAATTTAACCCAACAATTATTAAAAGAATATGCTTTCAAAAGCATGTCAAATTAAATATGAAATCAAGTCTAATGAGATAAATAAATATTTAAATGTTTATAGTCAAACACCTTATGTTTTACAAACCAAACCTTACCTTCAATAAAATTAAATAGAATATATTATATTATATAAATTCAATAAATCAGTGTATGTATATATATATTATATTTACATCAAAATCATATTATGAATCCATCTTGTCACGTACTCTGTTCCAACAGAATTGCCTTCTTCTTCCTTGTCAAAAATGGCCGCCATCGCCATTTCCTTCCTCATGCTCTTCTCCCTCATTGCATCCACCTTATCTCACACTCAGAGTAAGTTCCCCACCATGCTTCTCTTTTCTATTTCTTCCTTAATTTCTCTCTTACTTTACTTGCAGGTCCAACCTTCATGGCCTTCGTCCTCAACGCCACCGCCCTTCCGCCCCACGATTCGTTTGACTACATAATAGTCGGCGGTGGCACCGCCGGTTGCCCCTTGGCCGCCACATTGTCTCTCGACCACCGAGTCTTGCTTCTTGAAAGAGGCGGTCCTCCTCATCTCAACCCCAACGTCATGACACAAGAAGGTTTCATCCCCACGCTCCGCCAAGTCGATCCCTTCCATTCCCCCGCCCAACCCTTCACTTCCGAGGAAGGAGTTCCCAATGCCCGCGGCCGCGTTCTCGGCGGCAGCAGCGCCATTAACGCCGGCTTCTATAGCCGAGCCGACGATCAATTCTACAACCGATCAGGAATCAGTTGGGATCCCAATCTTATCGAGCGCTCTTATCAATGGGTCGAGAAAGCCATCGTGTTTGAACCCGAATTACAGTCATGGCAGTCCTCTCTTCGTGATGCATTATTGGAAATCGGTGTTCAACCTTATAACTCCTTTACTTTCAAACACTCTCTTGGGACCAAGATCGGTGGTTCCACCTTCAACAGCTCCGGCCATAGACACAGCGCCGCCGATCTTCTAAATTACGCTAGAGAAACCAACATCAAGGTGGCTGTCTACGCCACCGTGGAAAGGATCTTGTTCGCACCTTCCGATTCTCCGACCTCCAAGGAGAACGCCATCGGCGTCGTTTTCTGTGATAACTTGGGCCGTTATCACCATGCAATGCTCAGGGAGAAAGGAGAAGTCATCCTCTCCGCCGGCGCAATTGGTAGCCCCCACCTGCTGCTTCTCAGCGGAATCGGGCAGCGAAACTACCTCTCTTCTTGGGGCATACCCGTCGTAACTCATTCTCCGTTCGTGGGACAGTTTGTGTACGATAACCCACGAAACGGAATATCGTTTGTGTCACCGATGCTATTGCAGCATTCTCTCATACAGGTGGTGGGCATCACCGATTCAGGTGCTTATCTGGAAGCATCCTCCAACGTTCTCCCTTTTCCCACTCCTGTCCACTCCGTTTTCATGCGGCCACCGTCTTCTCCGTTATATTTCAGTGTTGCAAGCATCATGGAGAAGATCATCGGACCTGTGTCCGCGGGATCACTTGGGTTGGTGTCGACAGAAATCAGAGCGAACCCAAGCGTGCGTTTTAACTACTTCAGCAACCCAGTGGATTTGCAGAGGTGCGTGAATGGAACTCGTAAGATTGGTGAGTTGCTTAGAAGCCGAGCAATGGATGATTACAGATTCTGGGGATGGTCGGGTGGCGACTTTAGATTTGTGGGGCCAGGATTGCCGGAGAACCAATCGAGTGATGTGGAGATGGGTGAGTTTTGCCGGCGGACGGTGAACACAATATGGCATTATCATGGGGGATGCTTGGTGGGGAGGGTGGTGGATGAGAATTTGAAGGTGATGGGGGTTGGGTCTCTTCGAGTCATTGATGGTTCCACCTTTTCAATTTCACCAGGGACTAATCCACAGGCGACTCTATTAATGCTTGGAAGGTAATTTAAGGTTTGATTGATTGTTTCAAACTCAAAAAAGAGTGTGTGTGTGTGTGTGTGTGTTGTTAATTAAGCAATGTGTTGGTGTTGCAGGCACATGGGTTTGAAGATCTTGAAGGAGAGAATGCAAAAAACAACCATTTGAGACCTTCTCATTTTGTAGTCATTCATATAATACAAACAATTCTTGTTTTTCTTTTTCTTTTTCCTTTTCCTTTTCTTTATCATAATAATAAATAGAACCAATCCATTCTCAATTTTATTATTATTGATTCAAAGTATTTTAATTATGTGTGCATGGGTTATATTACCATTACCATTACCATTTCATAAATTTATAATGACAAAAATCATTCTAAAATCAAAGTGTCTTGTCTCATACCATTGAAATTAAGATAGATTGGATTTAGCATCTCCTCCCTAATTACATGATTGGAAAACTGGAATAAGCAATCTAAAATCAAGATTGCAAGCCTTGAAAAGAGTGGGTACATTTGGTGCCTCCCATACCCGACATCACAGGAGTCGTCAGAACGGTTAAAAGAGGAAAACAGCCCCATAGATGTCCATGAAGAACCAGAGAATGATGCCCTTGACAAAATAGGCAATTGAAGATTTTATCTTCTCCAACTCACAAAGATGATAGATAGATAGATAGAACTTGTGTTTATAAGGAGATGATTTGACTACTGTAAATAGAATTGTGACTGGATATATAGCATTGTGACGACGCTGCATGAGTTGATAAAGCATACTCAGTTGTCAAATTTCCTGCAGTTTGGTGCTTACATAAACAAATATCTAAAAACGCCAACACAACCCATGTCCCTAATTAACATTCATCAAACATAATCCAGAACCTCTATGAATGCCTACCCTCATGCAAATGCTCGGCACTACTTTCCCCTGGACCAATGACAACAAATGGATGGGTTAATCACATTGAAATCAGCAAATGCTTGTATATTAGAAACGAGAGAACAAGTTACATACGAATTCATCATCAGGGTAATGTTGTCCCCTTTCAGCAAAATCCTGCCTACAGATATCCAAAAGTTGGCAAGTCAGAAATGTGACGTCATTGGAATCACATTCAACATATACAAAGACTACAATCCAAAAATAATGTATTCACAAGCAAGCTAATGAAAATATCACAAACCCAGAGCCTTTCTGGTTTTCTTCTTTATGCTGACTTCCTCAGCCTCATCAAGAACCAAATTCATGTACTCATCAAACCCCTAGATGAAATAAAGAAACACATAAGATGTGGCTGATATTGTTCAATTATAGGGGATAATATGGCTTTGACGACGTTAGTCTCACATCATCAACAAACACATCCTTCATCACTCAAGCACTTAAATTTTTTCATATCTTGTTATATTAATCAAAAACCAATCCCTTTTTCATGCATTCCTATTCTTATCTCTCCATTAATCCCCAATCTTGATTTAAGAAAACATGAGAAACAAAAATATGCCAACACAATAATACATTAACATTCAACTGGCTAGGCGTTGAGCATCCATTCCCAAAAGAAGAAAAGAAAACAATGATGGAGTAAAAGGCATACTTTTATGGTCGATATCATGCTGTAATACTTGACTTGGATGGTTGTTGCATATTTAACATCTCTAGCATTTGTTATAAAGCAAAATATATTTTTCAAAGATCCCCACACAGGTTTCAAACCTACATTAATTTGGAGAAAAAAAGGCCATTGACATCACAACCAAAGTGCAAGTCTTTATTAGTTTTCTGTTAGCAAGAGAGCGTATGGTCTACCCCAAAGAACAGATATCGTTGGCTAATTGGTTGCTCAATATCTACAGGAAAAAGGTTCCTAATGACTAGATGGTTAAAAGCAATAATAGAAACAAGTACAAGCAGCAAAACGCAGATAATGGAAAAAACCCTAGATAGTATAGTCAAACATACGATTATGCGGCCTTCAATCCTCAAATCCTTCTGCTCAAACAGCCATATCTGTATACGAGCTTTCTGTTTCGTAAACAAAACATTAGTAAGAAAATCAACCAAGAAGATGTAAGAATATTGAAAGGAGAAAAGATTGTAGAATGTTTACACTCTGGAGGAACCGAAAGATCAAATTCTGGAAAGAAAAAATTGAAATTGCATCAGTAATTAATCGAATAAGAGAATTAGGGCAAGTTGTGAGGGATGAGAATACATACGATCGGTTGGGTCATGATCCTCTGGACTTTAGTAGCCATGGCTGCTGTTGTTACGGCCGGCGAGCAGGACTATTCTCCTTTTGTGGGTAACGAAGTCGCAGACACAACCCTAGAGAAGCCGCAGTGGTGAAGGAAAGAGTGAAGGGTGAAGGCCTTTTCTTTTTCTTGCTGGTCGACATTCTTTTATTCTATTGAGTAAAATACATTTTGGTCCCTGTAGTTTTTCAAATTCAACATTTTCGTCCCTACAGTACAGTCTGGGAATCACAGTTTAACATTAACCATCTTGGAATGCGAAAACATGCAGATTTGGTAAAAGCCGTTAAAAGGGCATTTTAGACTTTTTTTTTTCTTTTCTGTTTTCCTTTCATTTGGTAAGATTCTTAAAAACTCTTAAATCGTTCATCGTGTAACTAACTGTAGATAAACACAATTAAATACAGGATAAACATCTCATTTTAAATATAAAAAATCTAAAATATAATTAGTATAATCATTAAATTCTAACAGAATACTTAATTATAATCTTTATAAAATTTATAATATTAAACCAAAAATAAATTGTTTTATTATTAAACTTAAATTAAATTATATAAAAAATATATATATTATATATTATAAATCATTTGACGAAAACTCTTAAAAACCATTTTTTATGCGTAAAGTACTATTTATTAATGCATATTACTTAAAACTCAAGTTTACAAGTAAATTGTGCGTATGTACAACTTATTAAAGCTTCATATATGAATTTGTGTAACTAACTGCAGATAAACACAATCAAATACATGATAAACATCTTATTTTAAATATAAAAAATCTAAAATATAATTAGGATAATCATTGRGTTCTAACAGAATACTTAATTATTATCTTTATAAAATGTTATATTATTAAACYAAAAATAAATTATTTCATTATTAAACTTAAATTAAATTATAATAAAAAATAAATTAAAGAAATTACATAAAAAATAAAAACTTTTAAATAGTTGATTTGACATTAACATCGATATATATATATTTAAATTTTTATGATATCTTCAAATTTATTAAAGCTCGATGTTTGAATTCGTATAAATAACTGCGGATAAACATAATCAAATAGAGGATGAACATCTCATTTTAAAATATAAAATATAAATAAAATGTTATATTATTAAACCAAAAATAAATTATTTCATTATTAAACTTAAATTAAATTATAATAAAAAATAAATTAAAGAAATTACATAAAAAATAAAAACTTTTAAATAGTTGATTTGACATTAACATCGATATATATATATTTAAATTTTTATGATATCTTCAAATTTATTAAAGCTCGATGTTTGAATTCGTATAAATAACTGCGGATAAACATAATCAAATAGAGGATGAACATCTCATTTTAAAATATAAAATATAATTAAAATATTATATTATTAAATCAAATATAAATTATTTCGATATTATACATAAATTAAATTATAAAAAAATTGAATTAAAAAATTATAGAAAAAAATGAGAAATTTCAAATAGTTAATTTGATATTAATATCGATATATTTTTGTTAAATTTTTATGATATCTTAAAATATATATTTTATTAAAAAATAAAAACATCATCACTTTCTCAAAATCACATAAAGTCATATTATAACATCGACTGAGATAAAGAATAAAGTTTATGGTATATATTTAAACAATTTACATCAAATTTTGGTTTTGAAAGACTTGGTCAAATACAATGGTTTTGTCATATTTTTATGATTTCCACTGCTATGTCATTGTCATGTATTTATTGTTTTGTTTCAGTTTTTAGTTTTTAGTTTTATTTTTATTTTAGTTGCAACATTTTGTCAATCAAATCTTTAATTTTGATGGATAGCAGTAGCAGTAGCAGTAGCAGTAGCAATAGCAATAGCAATAGCAGTAGCAGATCCACACCTTCACCTTCATAACTGAACCACCATGAAAAAAATGGCAAACAACCATCATCTGCTGCTACTCTTTCTTGTGGTCATCACCACCACAACCATACCTGTTCATGGAAATGGAAATGGAAACTCCATCAAGATAGGAATTGGAGTGATTCTTGATATGGCATCCATGGTTGGTAAGATCACCCGCACCTGCTTTTCAATAGCGTTACAAGACTTCTATCAACAACACACCAACACCACCACCATCATCGTCCCCAACTTTCGTGATTCCAAACAAGACAACGTTCAAGCTGCTTCTGCAGCCATAGACCTCTTGAAAAACCTTCAAGTCATCGCCATTTTTGGACCCATGAAATCCTCCCAAGCCGATTTCGTTACCGACATTGGCAACAAATCCAAGGTTCCTATCATCTCTCCTGCTACAACCCCTTCTCTCTCCCCCAATCGCAACCCCTACTTCATCCGATCTGCACCCAATTCTTCCGCTAACATCGAACCCATCACGCAATTCATCAAGTCGTTCGCTTGGAAGCAAGTGGTGTTCGTTTACGAAGATGGTGATTATGGAACAAGCTTCATTCCTTGTTTATCTGATGCCATGCTAACCATCGGAGCCAAAGTCATGTACCGCTCCATCGTATCTCCATCTGCTTCCGATGATTGGATTCTTCAAGAGCTCTATAAACTAAAGACTATGCAAACTCGGGTTTTCGTGGTGCATACTTTACCGGCTCTGGCTTCGCGATTCTTCAAGAAAGTAAACGAAGCTGGAATGATGGAAAAAGGGTACGTGTGGATCATCACGGAAGTCGTCACAAGTCAATTGCATACTTTAGATATAGATTCGATGCAAGGAGTTATCGGCGTGAAGTCGTTCATCCCCAGGTCCTATCGGCTAATCAACTTTGAAAAGAGATGGAAAACAAGATTCCGGAGTCAGAATCCGGAGGTTGATGTCATTGCACCAGATATGTTTGGGATATGGTCGTATGATACGGTTTTCGCGCTAGCAATGGCATTCGAGAAGGTGGCAAGTGATCAAATCGATATGACCTTCCACCGTGAAATGAAATCATCGACAACAGACTTGGATGCCATTGGAACCTCGGAAATGGGACCAAAGCTCCTTCCATGGATCCGAAACTTACGCTTTGAAGGATTAAGTGGCAACTTCCATATCGTCGACGGACAGTTACAATCCTATGTCTACCAAATAGTGAACATAATCGGGAAGGGGGAGAAGCCTATCGGATACTGGACTCCTGGAAACGCCATCTCAAAGACATTAAAATTAACAACCAACAAACAATTGAAAGATGAACTCGGAGCCATCACTTGGCCCGGTGACACTCATCTCATCCCTAAAGGTTGGGAGATCCCAACCAGCAACGAAAACAAGTTAAGAGTCGGAGTTCCAGCGAAAGGGGGGTTTGTTCAATTCATCGATGCCAACTTCGATCCTCAAACCAAAAAGGTCGTAGCAACCGGTTTCTGCGTTGATGTTTTTAAAGCAGTGGTCGACGCTTTGCCTTACGCTGTGAGAAGCGAATTCATTCCTTTTGTTACTCCAGATGGCACGAGACCTGCAGGAAGCTATAACGATCTTGTTTACGAGGTCTTCCGTGGGGTAATCAGTTAACTAATTTGCATGTATTCGAGTAATGATTAAAGAAATGTTTGTAATTATGTCCTGAACCGACTGTAACAGAAATACGATGCGGTGGTCGGAGACATTACGATCCTTGCAAACCGATCAGAATATGTAGATTTCACATTGCCATACACCGAGGCCGGTGTTTCAATGATTGTTCCGATCAAGGTTGACGAGAGGACAAGTGCCTGGATCTTCACGAGACCTCTAGAGCGAGACCTGTGGATAACTACAGGAGTGTTTTTCATATACACCGGAGTCGTGGTATGGATTCTGGAGCATCGTGTAAACAAAGAATTCCGAGGGCCCCCTCATCAACAAGTCGGAACCATCTTCTGGTTTTCCTTGTCCACGCTCGTTTTCGCCCACAGTAAGTGCCTAGCTATTTAACTACACACCTCAATTCTTATTACACTTGAACTAAGGCTCTAATTTGCAACTTTTGCAGAGGAGAAGTTGAAAAGCAACTTATCGCGCTTTGTGGTGGCGGTGTGGGTGTTTGTGGTTCTAGTGCTGACTTCCAGCTATACGGCAAGCTTGACATCCATGTTAACGGTCCAACAGCTTCAGCCTTTGTACACCGATATCCATGAGATAATGAGAAATGGAGAATCGGTAGGATATCAAGATGGTTCATTTGTTGCCGGTATGCTAATAGGGATGGGGTTTGATGGTAGCAAGTTGAAGAGCTACAGCACGTTCGAAGAGTACGATAACGCCCTCCAGATTGGAAGTAAAAATGGAGGAGTTTCTGCAATCATGGATGAACTCCCATACATCAGGGTTTTTCTGGCCAAATACTGTAAGTATATCATGACTGGTCCAACCTACAAAACTGCAGGCTTTGGTTTCGTAAGTCCACCCTTTACCCTACTCTTACTCCATTTAATTATATATATATATATAGGGTCGGGTTCCGGTGAGAATGGAAGTTATTATGAGAAGGGTAAGAAGGGATCTCTACCGCCGGATCAATCCTAATTGAAGAGAACCACTAGATCAACACTCACGAGATACACTAGATCAATTCCCTCCTAAGCGTAATTCATGGGTTGTTTTGGGATTAAAAGTGATCAAGGTCCAAATCCCTTCTTACACTTCTCACCTTAACTCCTATTCTCATACAATCCTTCGTCTATATGTATGTGTGTGTGTGTGTGTATATTTCTATACCTCTAATCAAAATATGCAATGATAATTGTAGGCTTTTCCAATAGGGTCTCCTTTGGTACCTGATGTTTCTAGGGCAGTGCTGCAAGTAACAGAGGAGCAAATGAGGAACATTTCTAACCAATGGTTTGGAGGAGCAGCCGGTTGTGATGAACAGAAAGGAGCTAAAGTCACCTCCGACAGCCTCACGCTCGATAGCTTCAAGGGTCCTTTTCTCATTGCTGGGTTATCATCAACCTCTGCTCTCATCATCTTCTTGCTCATGTTTTTGTATGAAAACAGAGAAAAGTTGATGTCTGAAGGTTCAATAAGCCAAAAGCTTGCTGCAATTGCAAAAACATTTGACAATGAATCCAGAAAGACAAAAGAAGTAGTGGATATCGACAAGAGTCCAGCAATTAGTGTTTACCATCAAGAAGCAGTAGTTTTCTGTCATGATGAAGGAGGATCTTCTACTACTGAACCTGGGACTCCACTTACTGCCATAGAGACCTAGTTGATGACTTGATGATGATATCATTCTTTTCTAATTTCTAGTATGTAGTGTCTATATCATCATCTGTAAACCTATCATTAAAGGCAGGGTCATGTTTGCAGGCATTTGGCCCTACAGCACCATGATTTTATCCCATGTAAAACAATAATGACACCAGATTAGAAGTAATCACAATTCACAATTTACAGATTCACTTGGCAAAACCAAATTATTTGCAACAAATCAATTACAACTCCCCCACACTACCAGTCAAGGAATACCAAAAAATTTGCACTCAAAAGGTTAAAAACAAAAAAAAGACAAATTTACATGCTTAGATGCTCCCTCTACCGGAGAACAGAAAGAATTCCTAAACTTGTGAGAATGATGAAACTACCCGATATCTGACACAATGATATGATAATAAGAGAGAGAGAACAAAAGGCAAAGCATTCTAAAATGAAAAATAAACTTCTATGATTACAAAAGAAATGTTGCAGCAGACAGATCCCAGATATACAAGAGGGGAAATCAATTGCCTTAGGAGCTCCCATGAGATCTGATGGATGATATTGATTGTGCTGAAACAGAAGCAGTCGGGCTGCTTAGATCTCGTTCCCCATTGGCTAATCTTGGCTTCCCGCTCAACCTCTCTATTGCTTCTTGACATATATCACCAAACCACTCGTCCTCAGGAAGTACACTGCCATAAAATAACCAAATATATCATTTACTACAACCCCAACACATTACCTGTTCGTACTCTAATTGATGCACATATGCCTTAGTGTTGACATCTACATAAGAAAACTCATGTAGATGTCCATGAAACTGAAGTAAATGCAAGTGTTAATGACAACATACACATCATCATGAGCCTCTCAATTTAGTTACAAATCACAGAAATCATGCAATGATGCTTGTTAAACTTTAAGCATCGATATTACTTTTCTATGCCATTCCTACAAAGCTTTTTTTTGTTGCCATTTTTATTCTTGCTTCTGGTTGGTTCCTTGTTTATCATCAAACAGCCAATTATACATTCCCATTTATAAAAGCTGAGTTCCCTTGTCATCAAATAATCCAAACCTCAATAGTTAGCCCCCCAAAATATATAGAACAAAAGAATTTAAATAGAGGTATGTAAAATGATGATTTCACATATTTGATAACGTGTAGCTACTTTCACTCACCCATATGGATCCACTCCCGTTGCAGCAAAGGATGCAAGAGCTTTAGATATGATCTCATTCACGACTCGATTTAAATTTCGAGATAAGTAACGTCCTTGGGAGGCAAAGGAGATAACAAACTTCATATCCAAATAGAACTGCAAATTTGCAAGTTAAAAAACCATTAAATACACCAGCCCAGCAACAAGAAACATAATAAACGAATATTGACCCACATACCTGCTGTAGGCCGAGATGACCTAAGGGCCTCGGTCCTTCTTCAATGTCATCCCAAAAAGTTTGGTCTTCTGAAAGCCATAAGATGACAGTTTCTGTAAGCCTCATTAATAACATTGTCGAAAAACGTTCCCTGCCAACAAACATTTCTGCTGCTATAGCAGACATCCTGTAAAGTTTTGCATAAAGTTCCTGAAGATAAATAAAAACAAGAAGGTAGAAATTAGTCTCTCGGCCTTGACCATAAACTAACAGTTCACAATTTGGATTTAGAGCATAAAAAATGTCACAAGATAGAATGAATGGCATCCAGCTAGTTCAATCATATATATGTTAGTTATGACACTTGTAAGTAACAACAATCAGGGAAAATGGTCTTTTTATGATTTAGCAACTAAAATTTGGCCACAAAGTTTCCCAACACTTTCAGGACAAACTTTTGAATTAGAGGTACACTATTTAATGGATCAGAGTTGAAAATCTATTAATAAGTGCATGCACAATTTCAGAGAAGTTGTTGAAGGTCAATTTGAGATCAAAATTATGCACAAGAGAATAAACATGACCAAAGCTAAAAGAAATCTGTGATGCAAGTCTATTCATAGTTGGCCTTGAAAGTTTACTAGAACTTCAGTGGGAAACCTGAACCTCAATTTATTAACAATCAGTTACAATTAGAAAGACAAAAGTAAGCAACTTTTTTCTTTCAATTGATATGAATGTCCCTTTTCAAGCAAAAATAAGCTAAGAGAGAGGGGCCACATTTCATACTCTCTCCAGTACAGTCAAGATTCTAAAAGGAGGAAGGAACAGTGCACAAAGTTAGAAGTCTACATGGAAATGGTGCTGTGTGGCTTTCAGCATGTGAACCTGTCATGATAGCATAATCAACAAACACTCCATAAAGCTATTCCATTCTTCTATTCTAAAAGAAGAAAATCAAAGCTCAAGTCATCATCAGTTCATCAGTGAGCACCAAATACCACACATGTAAACCAGCAAAATCATTCAAACTTTCATAGGTCCTTTAGCGAGAGAATCAACTTAAGCAGCAGAGTTGGAAGTAAAATTAGTCGACTGTCGAGCATCAACATATTTGCAGTACCATATGGGTATTTTTATTATGCAAATAATATATTGGTGTGCCAACATGCAAAAGTATGCAACATGTGTCGTGAGCAAATCAAAGGACAAAAATGGCATAAACCAATCTATGTCAACATGCAAAATGAAGTTCTAAATAAAAATAAACTATACCATGACTGAAAATTTGTCTAAGTACCTGAAATATTGGAGAAGGGAACCATTCTATTTCCTCAATACTTCCATCCATATTTATGTACATGTCTGCAGTCAGATGGCTATCACCATCTTCAGTAAAGATAAGATCTAGAGCGTGTTGTCTGCAGAAGCTATCCTTCAATCTATCTACTATGCTTGCAAGACGCCTCTTCCATTCCCTTTGCTCAGGGTGTCGATTTTGCCGATCTGAGGGTCTTCTACGAGGATCATCCTTGTAAATGGCTTGTGCTACAGGGGTAAGCTTCATGGCTGCACGAGGTAATAGCTCATCAGCTAACAAGGATGCATTTGCAAGCAATGCCATTTGTTGGGATTCAGTCTCAGCCATCCGAACTATTTTATTCCCAGAGCCTTCGTAGTTTGCTTCTTCTTCCATGGAGCCCGGGAGTGCTCTAATGAGCATGCTAACATAAGAATTGAACACATGGAACAATCCCTCCAACATTTTACCGCCCAACTGCATGCTTAGCAGTGGCCCTACATCCTCAAAGAAATCCTATACAGTAAATAGCATGCAATGAGTGACATGCTGGAATACTCTAATGTGATAGATAACAAGTAGATAAGGCAATAAATAAATCTAGTATCAAATCACAATAAACCATAAGATGATCATATTGATAGATACTTAGGACGAGCAGAATGCACAATCAAGCATGAGCGACAACCCTACAAAGATATGCCTGAAGGAAACTATACCAGGATGACAATTGGCAAGTCAAAATTGGAAAAACGAGATAGTAATGTAGTCGGGCCATTAGCATGATAAAGAGCTCATTCTTTTAGCACCAAGTCCATATCAACAAGTGGACAAAATATATGTTCAGTATGTGGTAGTCATATGTGAGCTAGATTCTATGTCTAAGCAAGTCCTTAATTGTAATTATACAATCAAGTCTGCCAAGTGGTGGCATACATCTTGGAAGTTCTCACTAAATTGATAAGATTACCATGCTCCCTCCATCACAATTAAGTGTTGCAGTTCCCTTCTTGGGATATTTGCATTCTAATTTTTACATTTCCCTATTTGCAGAGTTAATATCACAGCTCTACTTTACAGTCTGAGACCACCTGACATTATAGCATTCAGGTATCCACTACTGTCATATTCACCGTCTCTGATTGTGATTGCCACATTATACCGTGGTGAGCATCAAGGTCGGTGCTTTTGAAAGAAGTTGAACAAATAATCAAGCATAACCTTCACACAGATGACAAAAATCATTTTTCTTAAACTAAAATGTAAATAAAAGACTAATTATTTCTACCAAATCTTGAGTTAATACACCCATTAAAACATAGATGCTGCTTTTTCTAGAAAAGTGTGATAATATTTAAATGAATGTCCAAGAAGGCAGAGATTTCCTGGGAAGAGGTCGCAAGTTGATAGAACACGCTTGTGATGCATGTTGATATATCAACACAAATTTTTATGATTGCATGACATACATGTCTACCTGCCCAGAGTTAAACAGAGCTACAAGATGATAATGGTCTCTATAACATATTGAACAAGTAACACTTAACCAAACTCCAACAGGAAGCCATAGTCAATCAATTTTCTAGTATATCCTTTAATTTTATTAGTGTCAAGCTCAGTGGCTCAGGGGACTGCTTAAAAGACAGCCAGGCTTCTTTAAGTTTATCCCACAGGTACTTGTCTGTGAAAATCTGTGAGGTATACACAAAACAGAGGCACAAAGGGAATGAATAAAAAAGTTCACCTGAACCATCAAATTGAACCTTTGAGCACTACTTGAGAGCTTATGTTGATAAGCCGATATGGTATTATGGGATGTACTTGAAGGCCTTCCAGATAGACGAGTAACAGTTGGGGAAGAAGAAAGATCCCAATCATCAGCTGCAGCCAATGCAGCAGTACTCTCTTCAATTCGCTTTAAATTTGCACCAAGCGCCTGTTCAACACTAGGCCTAAAAAGTTTCAAGAGCACGGGACACAGTGCCAAACCACGAGCTTCCAACAAAGAACAATGTCCCATAGCTATTTGAACACATTCAGCAGCAGCCCTTAACCCACCAGCAGCAGCAGATGAAGCTAATGCATGTCTTTTAACAAGAAGAGCAAAGTCTTCTGTTTGTTTCGTAGCCCACATCACAAGCTCAGAGCTATAAGCTGGTTCGTTACCAAAAATAGCATTAGAGTCAGTTGCTGTTTGAGCAATAACAGAAAATACCAGTTGCGAAATAGCTGCTGTATATGCTCCCCCGTATGAGGTGCTAGAAGGACGAAGATTTTGCATGTTGCTTTGAAGCCTTTGATAATGTGCTTGGAGCAGTAGACTGTGGGCACGAGGGCCATCTCCAAGCTTTTTAAGAGCACTAATAGCTGCACGAAGCTCACTGCCACGTGTTGTAGGTTGAGAAGCAGCATCAGCAAGCTGATTGGCTAGTCTTTGCCGACATTCTGTTATAGCCGTCTGCAAGGACTTCAAAACAACAGGACTCAGTGAATCCTTTTCTTTTGCTTCAGAAGCTACACGTTCCCCTTCATCAAGGGTAGCCAAAGCTTCCTCCACTCTTCTTTCAGCTAACAGAACATCAAGGATATCAGGGAACTCAATTAACCAATTCTCTAGGTCTGAAGGATCTCTGTCTACATCAGGAGATAATCCATTTGAAGAGGAACCACCAGGAACAGTGATAGACAAAGAATCAACATGGACCCCCTCAGCTAGACCATGAATTAAGGTAGCCTGAGTAGATAGCAAGTTTCTTATCGACAGTAGCTCACCTTCTAAATCTGATATCTCTTTTGATGTGCTGAATTTTTTTAGCAATTAACCAATATCAGCTACCAATTTACATGCAAAATAAACCAAATACATGTATTTTTTAACAAAAGGACCCACCGTATGAATGCAGTATAATTAGCATAGACACTCCTACGCATTTCCTCTGCAGAAGCTTTCTTCAAATCCAATAGATATGAGCATAATTGCCTTATCTCCTGGTAAGTGGATGAGGTATATGTCAGTTATATTAAAACAATTTATCAACAAAGAGAAAGATGCATTGAGCAGAGATAAACAGTGTATATAATGCATGGAGGTAAGTTAGTGGGAACCAAAGGCTAAATTCTAGTATCCACTGCTGCTCATAAATGAAACACCAAGCATCCAATGGACCAAAGAAACATGTCTGTGTTGAGCAATAACTAGTTTCCTCGAAAGCATGTTTGCAGTTCTTTCTAATTTTTATTTAAGATGGTGCAGAAAGCAGCATGCATCGTCTTTTCAAGTTCTTCCAACGCCTGCATGTTCAACCACTAAAACCAGGAACGTCAATCATGATTCATGGGATCAGTTCATTCACCTTAAGGCTAAATACATCTTCAGTGTTGAGTATGTTTTCTAAAACTAAGTTGTTTACAAAAGATTGTTTCATTTTCAAGTCTCACTTTCCTCCCATTCCATATAAACTATTTTCTCCTTCCAATATAATCTTCACCATTTTGATTCTGAATGTAGATTTCTTGCATTCTATCTATAAAGCACCATAGAGTTAGAGTGTCACATCTGCACTGGGTGCAAGATGCAGCTGCGGTTTGGGTCAGGTTGAGTGTGCACAGGGTGCAAACCCATTCATTTAAAAAATACTTGGTTTGGCTTGGCTAAATTGGTTACATCCTGGTGCTACTTGGCTGCAGATTGACTTGCTTTCTTAGAGGGTTTGGCTTACTTTTTTTGTGGTTCTTAGTAATTCCTGGCTGACAAGGAAGCTTAACACTTCAAATACCTGAACACATATTATGAATATCAACCTATGAAACATTTACAATCTAAGCATCCAAATATCCTGGTCAAAGAGGAAACTGAATACTTCAAATACGTGGACATATTTTATGTATGATTATACAAAAATTGCATATTTACAATCCCAGCATCCTCTAATTATTGTTTGAACATTACATTTCTACTTCACTCCTCTCCTCACTATTTTTCCACTCATGCGTACAGCGTACTCATCTCCTCACCTACTTAGGTAGTATGACTTGTTTTTCTTTTATTTCTTGTTCAGTTTTCTTAATATTTTATATGCTTGTTTATGTGTTTGTAGGATACGACATCCTAGAGAGTCTGAACGACAAGGGATTTGAAGGATTATTATTTTAATGATGGTTCTTTGTTAAGTTATTTCTCTTATTTATTCAAAAAACACATATGGACATTAACATATGTGCTGCATCTAGCTGTTAATATTTTTGGACTGCCAAACCCACACAGCTGAAACATGCTCCCGCCGCCATCCTTTCTACCATTCATAATGGTACAGGTAAACATATACACACTTGCCTAAATATTGGTATTACAATATATAAGGTACATAAATATACAAACAAAATTCATATTTTATATTGATATATCTGATAATTGAACATCTAGCACATTAGCGCACAAATATAGGAATGCTCCAACAAATGCAAAAGCAGCATATTTACATATTGATGCCAAAAAATTCAAGTTCTCGGTAACTATGATAGCAACTTCAAGCAAACTCCATCCTTTGGAATATATTTTCCAAGAATACCCATCATGGTATAAATAGGGGATAACCTCCTTGTTTCATTTTGCTCGTAGCGCCAACCCAGGGCATGGATCATGATTCTCAAGCCATTTAGTCTTTCATTAGTCAATCAACTCTTTCTCTTTATTATCTTAAGGCTAATCACATTTTATTTGGGAAGCCATTATACCTTTCAAGCTGAAGCTTTTGCTTGATCCCTTTTGTGAAAAGACGTTGAATACAACATGATCTTTCATAAAAATTATTTTATGCTCATTTGGCCCTTCAATGGTTGAGTACTAAAAGTTACTGTATTGAACAGGTTTTAGGCCGGTTTTCCCTGGTTAAGATTTAAAGGGCAAAGGAACGGAATAGTCGTGGAAATATGCTCTTTTAGGGACGTAAGTGTATGTTCCTCGTGAGGAAGGAAGGCATATCTAGTTTCTTCATAAGTGATTTACATTCAGATTTGGTAGACATGGTAGTTTTTAGTCGTATCGTGGAGCTAAGGTGTTGGGATTTCACCTTTTAAATATTTATGAAGATTGGCAAGCGATATACCCTGTAGAGCCTGCATTTTAGGATTTATGAAACGAGGAAATATTTTTGTTATAAATTCGACTTCTAATATCAACAAAATTTTATTTGAAAGAACTAATACTATTAAATATTAATAATAAAGGGAGAAAGTAGCAAGTATGCCAAAAAAGGAAATATTTAAAATCTTGATTTGATAATTACCGTTCAGGGTATCACATCACATTCCTCACTTTTACACAGATTACAAATATATTATGTTTAAAAAAGTAATTGTCTGAAGTCGATTTTATACATGAGCCACGCCCAACAAAATGGGACACGACAAGCCCGAGAATACTTTTATATTCAAACCTGGGCACACCAAGTTATAATTTAATATTGATGAAGTAACAAATTAAACTACTTCAAAGTAGAGGGGTGGATTCAAGGATAAAAGAGTGACGGTTCAAGTTTGACAGCGGCATAGTGGGAGTTGCAATCCTTTGGGGATTGGACTTCTTGTGTGCACTATGCTGTTAAGTCAGCCACCCTGCAGGCCATTGTGTACCTGAATTGCCTCTCAAATGATGCTCTTGGTTTGAGATGCTCTTGGGCGAGGCGTAGGGCCTGCTTTGGGTTGCCGGTTACAAACCCTTTTGCACATATATGGGACTAGTATGAGCACATTTAATGGATCAATGAATAAGGGAACCGTTCATCCTATAATGATGATCTAAACCGAGCAGCTATGGATGAGTCCTTTTTGGTGATAAGCAGCCATCCTCACAGCTAATCAGACTAATAGCACAACAAAAGCTAGAACGAAGGAGATTCACAAATGCAACTTTGAAGTATAAATGAATTGTTATATAGACAAAAATGAATATATATAAACAATGAGAGCACGTTAATATAGCTTTAATTCTAAACCGCATATGTATTTTAATCATAATACCTATAATTCCTGGAGAATAATTACTAAAAAAAGAAATGGTAAGAGAGGATTTAGGAGGATACGGACCTTCTCGTTCAAGGAATTACATTTGGAATTGACAAAGCCATCGGCGTCGAATTTATCGGACTTGAAGATGTTAAGATTTTCCTCGAGCTTAGGGCCGGTTTCCTTGGAGTTGGGCTTTACAGGGGCGCCTCCTCTAGAGCGGGATGACAACTTGGACGCCATAGAAAAGAAGATCGAAGGAAGGAGAATCTAGGGCTTAAATCAGGTAGGTCCAACAAACACAGGGGAAAAATGGAGGTGATTTGAGGAAGGAATGAAAAGCTTAGATCTGAAAGCGTAGAGAAGGAATTGGCATGAATGATGATGGTGATCGAAAGCTGGGGAACGCCGGTGGGTGATCCACCTGAGGTGAGGTGAGAGACAGAAAGGGGGGGTTAGTTGGTTTGCCAATTGCCAGGCCTATTCTCTAATTATTGCTTGCGACTCGCCTTGTTTATTTTTCACTTCATTTTAATATCAATATTTTCTTTCTCTTTTTCGCTTTCCATTTCCTTGACTTGAAATGAAATTCAAGATAATCTTGAGTTTTATGTTCTCAAAAATGTCTACAGCTTCTTTAACCTTCACTATTCATTCCATAAAAATGGGTTTAGTATTATTGATGTAAATCAATCTCATCACATATCCTAAATCATTGTGTCACATACTTCCACCTCTCATCCAAATCATGTATCCTCAATACTTTACTTATGGCGAAGATGGAACGAATGAAAAAGTTATACATATCCACTTTAACACATTCTTTAAAATAGACAAGTATTTTGCTTGTCCAAAAGCTTCATTTTCTTTATTTTAAAGAAAACCGTTTGTTTGTTTGTTTGTTTGGAGATACTAGCAATCAAAATTGAGAGGTATCCTTTTTGAATTTTATCACCTACTTAAAAAAGAACCTAGAAACTCTTCGCTACTCACTAGGCCAGGGTATGCATACAAATACAATTGGGTTTACCAGAGGTTCAATTGACTAGTGTCAAAATGTTCCCCCCTTCTTTATCTTCGTCTTCAACCCGCCAATTCCACTCCCAAATTATCCTATCGCCATGCCTCCACCCTCCCCATTTACAAGCTTCAAACTTGAAACTTTCCAACAACCGCTTTCCGATTAACCCCACCACTGTGAGTGTGAGGTGGGTTAGCACGACGGTGCATTCACTGCACGTATCGCCCTGGGATGATAAACCTCACCAGCTTCTGCCTGGTGGCCAAATATCTTACTATGACGAGATGGACGTGGTGTCGTTTCTTGATCCACCCAAACAACTCATTCCTTTAGACCCTTCTTCTTACAACCCTGCCGCTTATCTCTGGTCTTACTCTCTTTTTCCCTTTACGCCTTGTTTTATAGCTTTCTCCTATTTTTGTTTAATTTATCTTTTGATTTGTATATCCGCAACAACCAACCAACCTAAGATATGGATTGGGTTAAATTTTCAACTAGTCTTTCCAATCTAAGCCATCAGATTGCCGTTTGTAGGCTTGTAGATTGAGGGTTTCAAAAGCTACACATGATTAGAACATTAACAAATATGGTCATTAAAAACAACATTTAAAAGCACAGGGTGTTTTCATCTTCTTTCTGTAATGCATATGTGGTATAATTTATTTCTTTGGAATCAAGGAATCTGACTATCTGAGGCTGAGCTCATCAAGAACCATTTAGACTATGAAAAGGCTTTTACTTTTCGGTTTTGAAGAAAATTTCTTCCTGAAATGCATTGGCATTTTCCACTGGGAAGTTTATGGAAATCAAAAATCATGGATATAAGGCGAATAAAGACTCTGACTTTAACACTGCCAACTTATTTGTCATGCACCAAGGGGCTGTTTGGTTGGTTTCCATTAAGTCCTATATGGATGAAGTTGTCTATGTGGATTAATCTGTTTGTATTGATTGGGTTTGGGAGGGTTTTCTCATAGATGGAATGGGCATGTTTTTTAATCAGGATTGACAGGTTCAGAGAAAAACTTGGCTTTTTGCATAAAACTCCATCTTAAAAGCTTACTGAATAAGCCACTTTCTATATCATTAAGTCACTACCAAACAGTCATATATAGCTGACCGAATAAGCTGTGAGTCCCATTAAGCTGCTAACAAAAGGACTCTGAATGTGGTAAGAGTTCAGTTGCACTGTTATTTTTTCGCTAGTGTAACAGAGATGCATGTTAAGTTGCTATAACTCCCATGTGTTTGAACTGCTTTGAAGTTGTCTATGTGATTACAGTATTAGCTTCTTGTTTTTGTTACTACGATAATATCCCAAAACCTAAAGATTTATACTTAATTATCAGGAAAAAGATTGATGACATCCCAGAGGAAAGGAGACATCGTTTGCTGGCCTTGCTCAATCCCAGGTATATCTCCTTGGAATTCAAATGTTTCTCTATTAGCGATATATGTTACAATTATAGCTTTTTCAGCATTGCTTTCATATAGACTTGCATCCTTTGCAGCGTTGTTTAATTTGTTTATTCTTTTACATTATTTTCTCCTCTTCGTCTTTTACTTGATCAGACTCATATCGAGGGCTTGGGAGGTAGCAGGCACAAGATATGATAATCCAAAGTTGGCAAAGCAAAATTCATCTATCTTGTTTGCTGGTGAAGCTGGTGCAAAGTTGCTGGAATATTGGCACTGCCAAACAAATGGAGGTAACTTGAAAAGACTTGATCACACTTGGGGGTCGTTTGGTTGGTTTTCTATTATGTTATGTATGGATAAATTTGTTTGTGTGGATTAACCCGTCTGTATAAATTTGGAAGGTTTTTGTTTGGGAGGGTTGTTTCGTAGATGAAAGGAGCGTGTTTTTAAATTGGGAGGAGCAGGTTTGGTATTTTTTTGGCTTTCTGCATAAAGCTCCCCACCCCCTATATGGTTGTTTATATTATGTCCATGACACGCGTCCCAGTGGAACCACACTTGATCCTAAGTCCTTTGATGCTTTGTTGTATATTTGGCAACTGAAGGGTTCAGTGGAAGTTGAAGGAAGATCAGTTGGTAATTGACCGAGGTTGGTCTTCTTGGGTTGGGAATTCATATTCTTGAATGAAGGTTAGAATAAAACGTCATCCCAACCATCTATCACTCTCTTATGTGATATCGGTAAAATGATAAAGGCAGGAAGATACCCTTGGGATATATGCAATACGTAACAAACTTTACAGGTGGTTGCATTACGATTTAGGCTGTTGGACATCATTTATTTGAATCTGCGGAAGAGTCTTTCCATGTTATATGGCAGTTGGTCCTTCAAGACTCTTGAATATAGAAACTCAATGCAATGAGATACCTTTTTGGGACGCACATAAATTTAATCAAATTATATATGGGATGTCCAACTAGTGTTATAGTAAAGTAAATGGCTGAAAATGTTCATCGAATTTAGTTCTGGATGTATTTGATTGCTTTTCTTATGGTCTATATCATTATTTTTTCTTGCATATTTCTTATGCCATTGGGATTTTTCAAACAGGGCCTTTGGCTGTACCCTGGATTAATTACTTTAAGAAGGTTAGTTATCTATCCAATAAAAAGTTACAGCTACATATCTGATTCATTCTTTATAACCTATTGCAGTTTCTTTGTTCAAGTTTTGGTTTTTTTGCTTATATATGTTTTTAGATTCCTTTCTCATGTACATATCTTATTAACATTTTATTGTTCTTTGTCGGGAATTGCTATCAGGCTTTATTCCGCTGTGAAGATGGCCAAACTTTTGGAAGAGTCATTGGTATAATTTACTGATTGTACCCATTTGTATCTTTGTACTTGTTCTGCAACCTGAAGAATAGCATCATATTTTTTGCAACACAATTGTATTTGATGGTTTCGATCTTTGTAGTTAAATAATCATATCTCAGATTGATAAATGTCTTCTTCCTTTTTAAACACAGAACGGTAACCATCTGAATATGAGTACTCAAGACTTTATCGTCCCAGTACCATGTATATATATAGGTTACTACAGTTATGTACTATCTTAAATTTAATTGATCTATTAAGTTTTGATCTCGAAATGCGAATATTATTAATCTGTGCATCGGCTGTAAACCTTTATTCCTTAAATCTAGTGCAACCAGAAAATTGGTAGCTTGCATGTTTTATATCAACTCCAGCAGGAGACGTTATCGTTCTGAAGATCAAACTTGTCCTTTAGAAAGTGTTTCTTTTAGTAAAATGTAGCTACCAGCTGTTGTGTTTTCTTGACTATGATACGCTAATCAATTTATTTTCTTTTTTATTCTGTTCCTCAGATGCATCAGTTCTGCGTGGGTTATCGCACTCATTTGCTCCATTGTACTTCACAGTGAGAGAGGTGAACGAAGTGATGGCAACAGAGCAGCCTTGTGATGTAGCATACGAATTTGGAAGCGGGCTTTTGGATATCCAAGAATACCCTCAAGGGTTTCCAAATCCAGGTTATATTTTGTGGTTGTATTAGAGAGGTTGCATAATAAACCACATCTCTCTCTCTCTCTCTTTGTATATATATATATAGAGAGAGAGAGAAAATGAAAAATTGAGGAACACAGTATACACATTTGCATACAAAGTAATTGAAGTTGTTTCTTGGTTTTTATGCATGTGCATAACGGACAAATTACTTATATGCACATGGGATATGGACGATTACCAGGGTTTTTAACTATTTATGTCATGGTTCTGGAGGAGTCAGTTGTAGAGTGTTAAGCAAAGGTATATGTTGCATTTGCAGGGAAACACCCATGGCCGTTGAACGACCAGGTTGTGATATACGTGCGGAATATAGGGGCTGGTGTTGTGGTGGGACAAGCATGGCAAGAAGGAGAAGACCTGAAGCAAGTTCCTAAAAAGCTATGTGGTGAAATATTGATGGTCAAAGATTACAGCCATTTAGATAAAAGTTGGTGAGGGCTTAATTTTGGTTTAAGAAGAATGTGTATTGTATGTAACAAGAAGATTAGATTAGATTAGATTAGATTAGACTAGAAAGAAGCTTGCTTGTTTATTCTTGGTCAATATGAAGAAATATTTTATTTAAAGGGAAGGAGTAGGAGTAATTTGCGGCATAGTCTTGTTCCGTAACTGCTGCTACTGCTATTGCTAGTCAAGATGTTTTGGTTTGATTCAAGAATATGACCAATCAAATAGGTTTCTTTTTTTTTTTTTTTTTAAATTAATAAAATATTGTTAATATATATATATATATATTAACAATAATAAAAATTGGGTTTTTCCCCTTGATTTCATCAATCACACCCATGACCCACCTAGTCGTATATTGACTATTAGAAAATAAAAAATAATGGTAAATGGTATTTACAGATCATGTGGCGGATGGGATTTGGAGTGTCGGTGCCATAATAATAACAAAATACCCCCTCCAACTCTAAACACATCCCCAAACACCCCCCACACTATTTTCTTTCATTCTTCATTTCCTTGAATCAATAATTACACAAAAACCCAATTCATAAATACCAAAAGTATATAAAAATGTCAGGGCTTGAGCTTCGAGCAGCAGGCATCGACAAAAGAGGAGGGAGTGGGATATGGAAAAGTCATGGCTTAATGGAGTAAGCTCACCTCATGTTCTTATTGTCTTAACAACAAAAAGCCTTCTACGATTAAATCATACAGACATGGAAATAAAATAAAATCATAGATACCAACTTAAAAAACAAAGAGCCCATTGAATATCAATCATAATTGCAAATACATTTCTCTCTCTCTCTCTCTCTCTCTTATTTATCACCCAAAATCATCATAAAACATTGGAAATATGTGAAGATCACAAAGTTTGGTAGATTGGGGTTTACTACTACTACTTGATAATAATATGTATCCTTTACCCACGTGAACTCAACTCCTCCCTTTGTCTCCTCCATTACATTACATTACATTACATGTAACCAAGAACCCACACACTCTCTCTGCATCTCTCCCAATCCTCCTCCTCGTTCTCATTTCTCAACCTCACCCCCACAGTAAAAGACCTGCCTTTTCTTTCTTTTTTTTTATAATTAAAGAGGGATACATAGATAGATACAGCAGGAGGAGGGTTCTTGATTCGTCTTTATTAGAAAAAGAAACCAGCACTTATATATATACACACAGATCGACTGATTGATAGATATAGATACAGATAGATAGATAGATATAGTTGCAGGTAAGGTGGATCTGAAGAAAATGGGAATAATAGATCCGAGGCAGATAGTTGCAGGGGTGCTCACAGTCACCATGTTTCTAATGCTTGGCAACATGATTAAGCGTGAACACTTTGACGCTCCTGTCTCTCATCATGTATGCTTCTTCTTCTTCTTCACTCTGCAATCTTTCATTTTCTTTATCTCACGTTCAATCTCCAACCAGAATTGGAATTGGAATTGGAATTGGTCCTGTTTTAATTATATGCCCATTTCAAACCCTCATTTATTTTACCATCAGAATTCAGATACACATTACTAATTACCTTTGATATAGGTCAACCATGCTGGATCCACCCAAAGTGTTGAGGATTCAGAGAAAAGCCTCGCATTTGATTCGGCTGGCGATGATCCTTGGAAGGAGGAAGATACTGCTCTCAAGCCTTGCTGGTCTAAACCAGATTTGGGTCAGTGCTACACACTATCTGAAACTAATCTAAACATTTTCATTAATGTCTATTTCTAACGTCACTTTCTTTGAAATTTTATAGAAGAGGTAGAAGAATCTAAAGGATTCGTCACTTTCTCATTAACCAATGGACCCGAATACCATGTCTCCCAGGTATTTGATAAAAGTCCAGACCTTTACCTGCTACCTTCGCTTCTACTTCTGTCTTAATTACCTTGTTCCTTACCCTGGTTTCGTTCTAATTTCATCTGGAATGGTAAATGAGTGATGGGATTTCCTTACAAACAAATTGCGTTGGTTTTCACAAAATTGAGTTAATCAAGTCTGCACAGAGAGAGGAAGAAAGGGAAAGGAATAGAAACAAAAGAAATCAACACATTTCATTCTGTTTCTTATGTCAAAATCATGTATTGTTACCTTTTGTCTTTGTGTTTCATCAAATCTTAACCATGGTGATTGTAAACCTCAGGTTACTGATGCAGTAGTAGTGGCAAGATACCTAAGGGCGACACTCGTGATTCCAGACATAAGGGGAAGCCAACCTGGTGATCGGAGGTTAGTGTTCACATGTGGAATCCAGGCATTTTATGTCCTCTCTTGCTTTTTTTCCAATGCTACTTTCTTTCTTTTGGAGCCTGGAAACATAAATCTCTCTTGGCAATTAGTTTCAAGGTCCCATTGAGAAGAATGGTGGGGCTTTTTTTTTTTTTTGGGGGGGGGGGGGGGGGTTGTTGCAGGCACAGCATCTAGTGGATATGGTTGTTTATATATATGACTTGTAGATTCAAATGTTCTATCATCTTGTTCGCATTTGTATACTTGCATTCTTTCTGGTTCTTGACTCTAGAAGGTGCCATTTCTCAACAAGAATAGTTAGAGGTTTATATCTGAAGAGGGAGGTTCAGGGAAAAACCCTCCCAAAAACTGAAAAACAAAGGAACACACTAATAACTGTAAATCTATAGGCATGCACATGTGCATACTATAATTGAAGATGTTTCCTTGTTTCTATGCACATGTGCATACTAAAAAATTACTTATAAATTACTTGTATGCACATGTGCATACCATACAGATGAACGGTAACTAGAGTGTTCCTCGGTTTTTCATTTTTCCCCCCTAAACCTGACCCTATCTCTGATATCTCATATGCGGATATAGGTGCTATAAGGGATTGATGTCTTCTTCACTTTTTGTACTTCAAATATTCAGTTCATCAATTACTAATCTTATAAAGAAGTAACATCGATATCATGCAATAATGCTTCCAATATTTACTACAAGTAAACTGCATCCAGAATCAAACTACAGATGATTAACACCGTTGGCTAATCTTTCAGGAACTTTGGAGATATTTATGATATTGAGAAGTTTATAAGTAGCCTGGATGGAGTGGTGAAAGTAGTAAAAACTCAGCCTTCTGAGATAACATCAAAAAATCTTGCTGTTCTAAGGATTCCTAATCGAGTGACAGAAGACTACATTTCAGAAAATATCGAACCAGTTTTTAGAAGCAAGGGAAATGTAAGGCTGGCAACATACTTCCCTTCTGTGAACATGAAAAAGGGCAAGAGCGAACAAGAGAAAGAGAGAAATTCAGTCGGATGCTTAGCCATGTTTGGAAGTCTTGAGCTACAACCAGAAGTTCAGGAAGTTGTTGACTCGATGGTGGAGCGGCTGAAAACACTGAGTCGGAAATCTGATGGGCAGTTTGTAGCAGTTGACTTGAGGCTCGATATGTTGGATAACAAGGGTTGCCAAGGGAATGGTGACGGTTCAAAAAAATGTTATGACCCACAAGAAATTGCGGTGTTCTTAAAGAAGCTCGCGTTTGACAAGAACAGTGCCATATATCTGACCCAATCGCGGTGGGATAGCAGCCTGGATTCCATGAAAGACCTCTTCCCAAAAACTTACACGAAGGTAATAAAAATAAAAATTACTCATTTTGATTGCTTCTTTAGTTCATAAGAATCACCGGTTTTTCTTTTTTGAATGGTTTTCAGGAAGGGATTATGCCAATGGAAAAGAAGCCAAAATTCCTGGGATCGGATTCTTCAGAGTACGAGAAGGTGATAGATTTCTACATATGTTCACAAAGTGACGTTTTTGTACCAGCAATATCCGGGTTGTTTTATGCAAACGTTGCTGGTAAGAGAATAGGTTCAGGGAAGACTAAGATACTGGTTCCTGCAAACATTCCTCCCGATGCCTCTGCTTCTGTGGGGAATTACATTTCGCGTTATGTATCAAAGAAGAACCACATGGCGTATTCGTGTTTCTGCTAAAACGCTATCCATATGAGATAATAAATGCTTGAGACTTGTTTTAGTTTTCATTAGAGGTTGAGTTTCATATATTTATAAAAAGGGACAATGACAATGTGTTAGCATTCGAATTTTGTAACTCTAGCAAACACTTGTGCTGCTTGAAGCCAAAGAATCAAACTGAAACAGAAAACGGTTATCCGAATTGGTTTCTTTCTATCAAGTTCAAAAGAAGGATATTAATTTAGTGAAAATAAACCAAGGGAAATGAACAAATTATAATATGGAATGGAACAAGTGGAATCAACGATTCTTTTCAAAACCTTCTCTCTGTTTCTTATTACTCCATGGTACCAGAAAGATCAAAATCCAGCTATCAACATCTACACAAAAATGAACATGATAATAACCATAATAAAATTTCTTGCAGTCATAAAAATGCATGTTATCCATTGTTCATGGTGGTGGGATAATCGGATTATGAGCCTCAATATCAACATGCCTGATGCCAGGAACGATTTCTTGTATTTCCTTCTCAAGCCTATCAACTTCACTCCCTAGAGCCGTAACCACCTCTTCACCTATAATTATTCAGAAGCAATCGAATTTTCTTATTTCGCTAACTCAGTTGATGCATATAATCTAACTGTAACTACATACCATAGAATGACATGACCTTCAACATTTCAGTTTCATCCTTCTCTTTTGCAGCATCCTGAAACTGCACATACAACCTCACACTTGTAAATTTTTATTCATACTCATGCAGAAATAAGGGCCTGTTTATTAGCAGCTTAATAGACTTAATGGGACTCATAGCTTATTCGGTCAGCTATACATGCCTGTTTGGTACCGGCTTCATGATATAGAAAATGGCTTATTCAGTAAGCTTTTAGGGGGGAGCTTTATTCAGAAAGACAATTTTTTTTTCCAAAACTGTCTCTCCCAATTAAAAAAAAACACGCTCATTCCATCTATGAAAAAACTCTCCCAAACAAAAACCTTCCAATCTATACAGACAGATTAATACACACAGACAACTTTATCCATACAGGACTTAACGGAAAACCAACCAAACAGCCATTAAGAGTAGGAGACACAAGCCTCTTACCTTCCTAGCCCATTCTTCAGGTCCTGTCCTACTAAGATAATTCTGCACCAATATCGCCCCATTGAAATCTGCAGCATAAAGCCTCAAAAATTACAAGGGAAATTGCAGCAATAAATATAGAATAGCTACTGAAAGTCATTTTGCACATCTAAATCTTTAAGGAAATGGCAGACTAGAGGGTCAACTAATACATGATGTGGTGATCTATGCAAAGGGTCAGGAACCCACAACTTATTTGTTGGGAAATTAATATTTGCTCATATCTGTAGCTTGTAGTTGGTAAATCATTAAATTTAGATCAATTGTCTCTATTGCAAACATTATCAATTTATCACCATATGATTCTGTCTCACCTATTTCGGCTTTAAATCTAAAGAAACCAGGCCCAATCACCTCGCTTTTGCAATCATATACAGAATCTACAACCTGCAAGAGGGAAGTAGATAAGTGTAACCTAGTCACAGTTGGGTCTTTGAGTTAAGAGTGAATCTAGTGCAATATTTACTGGGTCATTCTTCAAAAATTCAAGAACCCTTTTCATATCATGATCATCAATAGCTCTACCAATAAGTGCATGACGATTTCTCTGGATGAGAAATATTGCCACCTGCAACAAAAATGACAATACAAAAGGCTCAAGCATTTCACAAATAAAAGCTTGTATTTATGCTCCTTCATATCACATGAAGAAACCAAAGAAGAAAAAGAGACACACAACTAAAATAATCTATTAATTCAACGAGTAGAGGAAGTGTCATGAGTCAGGTCTTATAATTAACAAACTTATCTGAAATGGAGAAAATTTCATAAAAATGATTTAATGAGAAAGTGTAGTAAAATATTGGGTATGGTTGGTTTGGTGCAGTAAAATATTGCTATAGAAAGTTAGCAGAATTCACTTTCTATATTCTTTATATTCCATAATGTTATGGTCATAAATCAATATGTTTAATCGCTATAAAAATGGAAAATCATGCTGATAGTGCAAAGGGGATGTATGTCAGAAATGGAACGTATAAATTAGTTAACACAGCATCTTTGTTCAAAAATAAGATGCAGAATAAGCGGTGGAAAGCCTATCTTGATTTGGGCAAGAGGACATTGCAATTACATACCACTCCGAGAAGGTTTCCGACAATGATTGAACCAATGGGATCATAGATAGGATTCCCTGTCAAATTTACAGCAACTAGTGAGCCAGCAGCAATGAGAAGGCCAGTAACTGCAGCACCATCCTGCACATTCAGTTACTTTCAGAGGCATCCCAGAAGGCTATAAACTTCAGATTCTGTTACTGATGTGCAACACAGTACAAAATTCTCGGATGACTTTTGTTCTTTGCTTTCACTTTGCATATATCTCGATGTTGTGGTAGTTAGAATCGTAATCCAGGAAGTAATCATCAGATGAAATAATTTGTTTTCAACATGTTTCATAATCATTATGCTGAAAGCAAGAAGCTTAGACCTCGGTCATGACGGCAACAGATGTCGGATCATGTCCACGCCATACATAATCTCTCACTTTCATGCCTTCTGCAGCTGCGCCTTTTCTGACAGCATGCACAGCCACAGCAAGAGAAGCCCCTAGAACCAAAGCTTCGTTTTTTAGGACTATAGATGCTATGAGATTCATTCCCCATGTAGTATGAAATCGTTTACATCAATGAAGTAGTCAAAAGATCTATTACCTTCAATAATGAATGAGCCGCCAATCACCAAAGCTGCATACATTATATTGCCAGGGGGCTGAAAAGTTTACATATATCAACAAGTTTCCGTTGCATGTCAGATGAGAGACGAATAGTGCACATTTTTCTTTAAATGAACAAAAAATAATTTGTAGAAACCAATCAATATGAAATTACCTGTGAAGTCCACAAATTTTGAACCCCGTTTACAATTGTGGCACCAGAACCAAGACAAAAGATTCCAACAGCAGATATTAAAGACCATACAAATCTTTCCTTTGAATAACCATACCTATAATACAGAGAGAATAAAATCAGACCAAACGTACCCAATATTCCACTATAGAGGGGGAATCTATTAGCACATATATGAAACTACACACTACAGATGTAACTATGATGTTGCAACGGTTTCTACATATTCAAGACAGGAAAAACTTTGCACTGATACATACAGTAATAACAAATTAAATCAAAGACAATTAGTTCCGGAAATGAAACAAGTAAACGTCTCTGAAGATGACAAGATTTTTAAATTGCAAACTTTCAACATGAAGAAGAAAATATGAATGAGAAATGAAATGCTCACGGATGAAGAGCATCTGGAGCGCGCTTGGAACTGCGCAAACCATATAAAAGAAGTGCCTGCAACATGAAACATTTGTTAATATCTTTGTGTTTATAGCAAGGAAATCAAGAATGTCAGCAGAAATGAGTATTTCACCTGATTTGCAAAATCTGCAACTGAATGCACAACTTCAGCCAGCATGACATGGCTTGAGGTGAATAGCCAGACCCCAAACTTGAGTGAAAATACTAGAAAGTTGCACCATAGTGCTGTGGTGACGGCTCGCTGGCTAGCAGGAAAATTTTCAACAATGCAAAAAAGAATACAAAGACAACAAATGAATGATGGGAAACAATACACAATAACAACCCTTTTGCGAGAAAGTCTTAAACATGCTAACTAAATACACAAATGGGTTTTTGTTTTTTAACTGAATAATAATAAGTGAAAGGAGGGTTACAGATACCTGTGATCATCAACCTCTATCTTGTTAATTTTCTTAGGTCTAGTGATAAAACCTGCAAAAGCGCGACAAAATTAAAAAAAGAGAGAGGGGGGGGGGAGTTGAAGGAATTAGCGTTAAGAAGGTAGAATTGAACTTACTCCGGTGACTAGAATAGCAGTAATTGGCATTGTATGAAATGGATGAAGATGAAATAATGGAAGAATAAAATGAAAAGGGAGAAATGAGAAATCGTGGGTGTGGTTGTTGGTGTGGAATGGAATGATGATGATGATGGGATTGGATTGGGTGGTTCCGTTGAGGAGGAGGAGGATCGAGAATTCGGGTAAGGAGAGGCGAGAGATGGCGACGAGAGAGGAAAGAGCGATGATAGATTGGCATGAGGATGAGCAAGAGCGTATGAATCAATCAGTCAATGTATGTATTATTGTAGACAGTAAGCTTAACATAACAGCATTGTTACTTGTCAGCTTGATTGCTTACTAGGGTTTTGAGTTATTTTTCAAGAAAGGAAAGGGTTCGTGAGAGAGAAAGAAAGGAACCCACCCTTGTCGGCTTCATCTGTCACTTTAACAGCTTTAAACTTGGTTTCAAGATTTGCTAGCTGAATGTATCAAATATTTGCTCTCTTTATTTATACCTTCAAAAGGTTTTGTAAAAAATCTTGGTTTGAATGGTATCAAAAGCCAACTGAAATTGTGTCATCAATTCTTTGGAAATCATCAAAGTTTTGTTTTCTTGTATGAATTCATGGATGGATAGAGATGGGATCTTTTTATTTCCAAAAGGGTTCTGTTGCAAATAAATATACAAGTAAAATGGGAAACACAGGCAACCCAATCCAGATAAGAAATGAAGAATGCTTCTATTTTCTTCATTGACTAGTAGTATAAATGATACAATTAGACAAAAAGGAACTAACTACAACGTTATCAATATCGTCAACTATAATAATAAAACAAGAAGTACAATCATCCTCCTCAAAACCCAAGTTTAGTTTGTTCAACCAATCATCCATTCCATCCTCCTCCTACTCTTGGTTGTGCTGACAAATTTTCCACAAAAAAGGCACCTAATCTCCCCCAAAATGCCCTTCTCTCCTACCACGTAATCGAATATTAGGTTTAGAGTTTCCTCCACGAGAGACGATTTTTAGAGGATGAGCTTCTGTGTTGAACACCCATTCATCCAATGATATAACAGATGGAGGCGAGAATAGAAGATATAAATATTTCAGTGTTTCTGCAAGAAAGAAGCTCTGCATCATATTGTCTTTCACGCCTGTATTAACCTGCAAACAAACAAATTATGTTATCAGAAAGGTACGAGTATAAGACACACAATTCAAGCAACATGGCCTATGTTCCAAAGAGATTATGAATGCTAACATGTAAGATAAAAGTCACTCTAGCATTTTTTTTAAATATGAATAGTCTTTAGTGTAAAGTACAAACTCTAGCACTTTTTAAAATTATGGACAGAGTACTTACATCCTTCAGTCCAACATATCCTGCTTCCACACGCGAGTTCTTTTCAAATGCTTGAAATATGTTCCACCCCCAATCTTGATACGTCTTATTACCAGTCAAACGCCAGAGGTAAAAGAGCGATTCAACTGTCTCTGGCCTCAATATGTTCCATGATGTACCCACAGTCATGTCCTAGAATATTGGTAACATTAGCATCATATAAGAAAACAGGAAATCTCCCAAAATTTGACCAATTACATTAATCAGATGACTAACCTGCCCTGAATGAAAGAAATAATTTTCTCCTGCCAACTTCGTTGGTGTGGATTGATAGAAGTTATAGCATGTCCACGCAAGCTACATTTAGAGGCCACAAGATAATCGGTCAAAAATGGTGGCCAAAGTGCTTTTAAGAGAATATGCCCCCATGTAAGATGCCCCTCAAATTCAATAGGGGGAAAATTAAATAGAACTTGAAGACTAAACCAAAGTTACCAAAGTTGCATAACAAATGTGCAAGAGTGAACATGTATTGAACTCTTACTCAAAAGGAAAATGTTTAGCATCTATTTTTGGAGAACCCACAAATGAAATTGCTGCTTTTATTTTGAACGGATGGAGTATTTATATTTCTTTAATACGTGTTAGGAGTAAGGTAGCCTTGTTAAGAAATTACAGTACAAGTCTTCAGTTGATAGCCAGTAGCATACCTCTTCGGCCAAATTTAAGAATTTTGTGGAATCACCAGGACCATAACCAGATGACCCTAATGCTATCATTCCTGGTGCAAAACATGCTAACTCATCCATCTGCACGCATCAGAAGAAAGTACAATCTCTAGATTTCCTTGCAAAGAATTTTTGATTCAGTGCTCTTTAATGAAAACTGGGTACCTCGACATTACCTTGTCAATCAAAGAATTTCCTATCTTCTCAGAAATATATGTAAAAGATGATGGTGCAGTTCTGCGGACCAAGCTCAATAGACCTTTCATTGATGTCTCCCACATTTCTCTGTTATAAGATATTCTGTTAAATCTTTCTCATACAAGTTTCTATGGGAGGATGTGCTTCTCATAAAAATCCAAAATTTGAAGATAAAAGGTGTAGCTCAAATCATTTTTAGTTATCCAAAAAGACCTTCAATATTCGATACTAGAATCTCTCACCTATAATGTTTCACCTCTGCAGTTCTGTTTCCTTGTATCCAAACTTTAAGTAAATACTCATAGAAACTGCACCCAAAAGTACAGTTCAATTGGAATCAAAACACTGACAGCATAAAGATTTCCTTGAATACGGTAGAAAAAAAGAAGTTAAATCCAACATTTTGAATTTTGGGAAGCAGCTTTTAAGGGACAATCAGTACCTGTCCCCCATGGCCCCAAAAGTAATGGTAGAATGTGATGGTGTTCCTCTGTGGGGGTTTATATAAATGGGGAGCAATCCATCAGCAGGAAAATTCTTCTTTAGCTCTAGAATTACATTTTCTACCTGAAACATCAATTTATGATATTAAACTTTGTGAAATAATATCAACTGCAAAGAGAATCCAAGTTAAATCCCCATGGATAAGTAAAAGGTTTGCATGCAATTTAACTCAAGAAGAAAGCTGTTAGTCCAAACTAGCAGGATTGAACAAAGATATAAAGAGAACGTTAGAAACCAAACTAAAAAGTTTAAATCTTTCTAGTTGGCAAAACAACATTAAAGTAAATTTGTTGAAGAGACAACCAGGTAACAATTATGATAATGCATGACACTATTGGGCACATACCTTTTGTTGATACTTTGCCTCTCCGGTCCTTTGTGTTAGTGCAATAAACTCCAGTTGCTCTGTCCCAGAATCTGCCAAGATACTATCACCCTGAGGAAACGAAAGAGGATATATGATATATTAAGAGAAGTCAAATTCATGGTCATCACTTGGACGCTTAACTAATGACCTGATCCACAACCGACAATGGTTATGATGCATTTTGAAGCTAACACTCATCTGGCCAATGAAAATGCTATTGCACCCTCAAGACCTATGAGGCTATGATGTCAATAAAGAGATTAACGGTCTGTTTGTTAGCAGCTTAATGGGTTTCACAGCTTATTCGGTTAGCTATACATGACTGTTTGGTAGTGGCTTGATAATATAGAAAGTGGTTTATTCAGTAAGCTTCCAGGGACGGGCTTTATGTAGAAAGTCAAGTTTTTTTCTAAACATGTCCTCCCAATTAAAAAACACGCTCCATCCATCAATGAGAAACCCTCCCAAACAAAGACCTTCCCAATCTATACAGACAAATGAATCCACACAAACAACTTTATCCGTACAGTTGTTAATGGAAAACCAACCAAACAACCTAAGTCAATGGACCACTCGTAGGCTACAAGCAAAATTCACATTTTTATCACAAGGGAAGTAGCATACTAGTAATTAGGACAGAAATGCTTCTCGATGAAGTTTAGAACTTACCCCAGTCCAACCAGGGTTATGGGCATTACCATGAGCCAAGTTGATAATGTTGTAAGGGATACCAGAAGGAGTATCCCATGCAGGCAGCAATCTATCAGCTATGTCTTTCGCCTTTTCAAGGAAGACATTGTCCCCAGATAGATCATAGGCACTGAGAAGCCCACCCACAACTCTGTTGAACAAAGATGGTAAATTGTCACACGATTAGTGTCTCATTATATGATAATTAGTATATTAGTTGCTGAACACAAACTTCCTGAGCTCATGTAATATTTACTAGAATAGAACATATTAAACCTTACAAAGCAACCTTATGGTCGTCTCAAACACGCTGGCATCATAATTCTTATTGAAGTCCAAAGAGTTTGCAACCCACCTGCCAGGCACAGCTTGTTAATATAAAATCAAGGAACATGTGTGCACACATATATTACAAGCTTTGACCACCCATAAATAAAATTATATCTATGGGGTATAAGAAGTTAATTAAATATATAGGACCATACTCTCTAGCCCTTTGAAACTGCTCATCCAGACCCATTATATATAAGGTATCCAGAGAGTCGATTAAAGTTGCACCAAGACCACCAAAGCTATCCACGCCATTCTTTGATTGTGGCTAACAAAAAAAGGATTAAAAGAAATCAGCATTTTAGGGACTAGCAAGAGACAAAAGAAACTAAAATAACCACAAGTGATAGAAGCAAAGACAATGTCAAAATCTAGTTAACTAAAATCATGTTTCGGTGTATCTACATAGAACTAACTTGGTGCACCGAAAATGAAAGCTAAAAACAAGCATGACCCATCTCAAGTAATCTATTCTGGCATTAATGGGTTAGCACTACAGTTTTTAATTGGTCAGATATAACAGTAGAAAGTGACTTTAAAGTAGCTACCACTATATCTGATCCATATGCCACTCTCCTATTGCACCTTTACACTATCAACATAATCTCCCTTCAACAACTCCTCATCAGCAAACAGATATGAAAGAATTTCAGATTGACAAGCACGTTACCAATGAACTTGGACAATCTAAGGGCAACTTGAGAAACAAAATTTTAAACCATGTTCTCTCCCATGCATCCCCCTTCATGTGGGTGAAAAGGCAAGTACATAAGACAATATACGTTCTCCTACAGGTCTCCAATCTTAAAGTCGAACCAAGTTTTCCCAAGTGAGATATAGAGGTAACAATACATGTGACCTATGCATGCCAAACAATGAAATTGCTACAACCATGCTGATGCTTTTACAATCTTAAACTATATTAGCCACGACGATAAATAATCATACTATCTGAAAGAAAACAATGACATACCTGAAGCTCGTCATGGCCCCAAGCATATTTTTCATATGAGGTCCATGCATGAATCATAGCATCTTTTACTTTTTCTCTTCGCTGATCCTCAATGGGATCAGTGGCAAGACCATCCATCTTAGTTACATCAGTTCTTTTGGTTGTAGTATTCATCTTTTTAACTGGAACACCACCTTCATGCCTTAACTCTCCTAGCTGCAAGGAGGCAATAGATTTGTAGTAAACTAATGCTTAAGGGACACTGAAAAAATATACAAGGAACGTTTCTTGGGCTGTGAGAACAGAAGTGTCAATCCTCAATATATATTTGGGCATAGAAAAAAATGTAGCCATTATATGTTCCAGCAAACCCGTGAAACTTCCGACATTTAGCCTTTTAACAAAACAACAAGACTTAATGGGAACTGACCATTTGTTTTAACTTATTCTCATTATCTACTTAAATAGGTAGTGGAACTCAAATTCCAGCATTGCAATGTGGAAAAAGACATTTGGTGGGAACCTTACAAGATGGTTTAGTTAAATACAAGAGAATTTCGATATACAGGATTCCTACAGCATTACTTCTGATAAAATTTTCAATGACTGCTTAGCGAAAATGCCAGGATTCCAGAAATAAGGTAAAAGGCACCAGATAGAAGTTTCAAAAGAGTCTGTTATAGGTAATCTGTAAGTTGTTTGGATCTTGATATAGAATCAAAACTGTGGTACCTCATTTTGCAAACGATCCATTTCTTCTTTCAACTTTGAGAGCTCTTCCTGTCAATCAATAGAAGTTTGTTGATATAAGAAATAAAGCAAGTAAAATGCATTTATCAGGTCTCTAGCCCTTAATTTTCAAAATGTAGTTGGGATATTATGCATAACAAATTAGATGAGTCTACCAACTGAATGGTCCCAAACACTTCTATTCTGTAGTTCCTAGCTAGTGATAGCACATCTTAGTGATCATTCAATAAATATCAACCAATGAGAGATAAGTAGTTAAACTCGCAACTACCATTTTACTCTTTATTTTTAACATGATAACTTTATTGGAACATGTATCCAAAGAAAAGTTTGGGAAATATACGAGAAGCGAGTCTAAGAAGAGAGAGGAAAAGAAGACAAGAGACAAGCCATCCTATCTGCTACTGAAGGTTCTAAGCTAAGAGTCAGCTGAAATTTGTCAGCCTGAAATCTTGCACAGAGGTCGCTCATGGTTGAAATAAACCATGCAAGCCCTCAATATTTTGCTCCTCCCACCAGATATTAGCGGCAATTAAATATCACTATCACACGCTCTTTGTTTCACTGTGAGCTCTACAGATCTGAAGGACCTTAATCCTAACACCAAGGGTCTGTCCGTTAGTAGCTTAACGAGCTTAATGAGACCCACAGCTTATTCGGTGAGCTATACATGACTATTTGGTAATGGCTTGATGGCTTATTCAGTAAGTTTCTAGGGGAAAGCTTTATGCAGAAAGCCAAGTTTTTTCCAAACCTGTCCCTCTCAATTAAAAAACAGGCTCCTTCCATCTATGAAAAAACCCTCCCAAACAAAAACCATCTCAATCTATACAAACAGATTAACTTTACCCATACATGAGTTAATGGAAAACCAACCAAACAACCCCTAACTCATAGCTGCCAATTATTAACTGTGGTGATGATGATGATGGTCGATCAAAAGAGAGGATTGCACTTTTATTTGATGTTTAGAACTTAAAATTTGTATTAACAGATCAGAGAAATTGAAAAAGACTTGAAGCAACACAATAGCTTCCGGAAATTAGTGTGGATCTCCTTCCATGTGGACCAGAATAAATCCACATGGCCTTAAACAATCCTGCTTCCAGTTCAATATTCCTCCAATGGGAAGGAAAGTAAGAAATTTTTAGAGTTTCCTCCAATCTGGGATCATCATTGCGTGTTTCTTGCGCTATCTAAGAATCGACAGTTGGGTGTTTCTAAGACTATAGCGTAAATGGAATTGGAAAGGGTAAAAAGATTGTGTGTGTATATAGACGATACCTCATGTTCCCGGACGAGAGTTTGACGATCCCAGACAAAGAAAGAGACAAAGACGAAGGCCATAAAAAGTAAAGCAAGACGTTTTGGGCGCTTCAAGTAATAAGCTGGATTGAGGTATCTCCATCGGATCGAGGATGAGGATCTGGTTCTTGCCATTTTGGTTTGAATCTTGTAACAAGTGTATGTAAGTAAGTATATTTACTAGTAGTATAGATATGATACAACAGAAGAGAACCCTAAGTGGGTATAAAAAAGAATTGAAGATAGAATAGATCTCTCCCGTTTCGCAACAGGTGTTGTCGGGATCTGTTGTCTCCAAGAAACGGGAGGGGGAGGAGGAGGAGGAGACGATGGGTTATTTATGACGGAGATGACCAACACCAATTGAATGAATTCATTGACTGACAACTGACTGACCTTCCAAGAATTTATTACCACAAGGGAAAAAACTTTAATTTATTCTGTGTGTGTGAGAGAGAGAATTAGGAGTTCAAAGATGACACAGTTCAAAGATGACATATCGACCATTGATTACTTTTAGCTTCGTCCCAACTCATTCATAATTGTATTGTATTTATCAATCTGGTGCATCGTAATTTTTTTTTTTTACGGAACCCGACCATTTATTCCCATACATATATACATTGCCCGACCCGTTGGTACGACTATTGATGCATATCAACGAAGCAAACAAGATCACAAAACACTTCCTCGGTCATGAGTTGCAAAATTCTCTAAAGATCTTATGAAATATTACGAGAAAGTTGCAAACAATTTATGAAAGATAACAAAACGTCTTTCTTTATAATATGTACCATATGTTGGCGATTTTAGTGAAATCATAAGGTTATTTTGTGTAATTAGATTTCCAAGAGAATAAATGATAGATGGTTAAGTCATAAAGTGTGATATGATATGTAAAAGCACACTCGTATAAGTTATCCTAAGATCGATGGATGTGGCCATTTGACATGGTCCAAGCGCTAAAACCCGTTTCTTGGGAGTGAATACATTTGTATGTTTTGTCGGACTTTTTTCCAAGTTACAAATTATCATTCTTTTCCATAAACAATGATACATTTTAATGTTTTCTGTTTGATTGAATCTATATACATCTTAAGTTTTTGACATTTCAAAAACAGTTATGAAATCGTTGCAAAACACATGCAAATTGTTTGTGAAGTGTTACGAATTACAAACTTGTTACGGAACACGTATGAACTCAGTGTTGTTCTCTGTATCTTTTTCCCTCATTTTCTTTTCATTTCCTTCGTAAAAATGGTTTCGAGAACACAACGTTGTTCCCTGTATTTTTCTTTTTAAAAGAACATCGAATCGAGAAGAGATGAAAAATAGAGAGAATGTGCAGAGAGAAAACATAAAAATACACAAAGAGGAATATTTCAGACAGAAAACTAAAACCAAGCATATTATTTGGAAAAATACAACATTGGAACATATTTTTGACATTTGATGCTAAGCTATTATATATAGAGCAAGCATGAAAACTGAAATTTCCCTTTGAAAAATACAAAAACAATCACATCCATAATTTGGCAAGAACAAAAAACAAACACATCCCATTTTCTGTATATATATATATATATATATATATATATATATATATATATATATATTCTCTACTCAAGAAACAAAGTTTGCAAAAGGATCAAGAGACCATGTAGTGGTCACAAAGGATGAAGCCATGAAGCAGGCACTGAGCAGTATGAGTTTTATCTGATGTACCTGATAATACCAGCTTACCTCCTTCCATCACCCCACCCACCTTTGCACCTGATATCTGGAATCAAAACACCACTAACTTGCTTCATAATCATTTCACATGTAATTTCACACACCTATAAAAAAGAATGCATACATACCTCTTCTATATGACCTAAGTTGACGTTCTTCTCTCCGTATACGCACCCAAACAAATTCTCAGGTATAACAATCTCGACCCTAATGCTTCCCGTTTCATTCCTGATACACCAAATACTAACAATAAAATATTCATCATTAAACTAAAACCAATTTATTACGACTAGTTAGGAGAGATTAAAACCTTCCGCTTGAATCATTAACTTTGGGTAACCCTCCTTCCAACTCACCAACTTCGCCTCCATACCTGTTGCTACCTGACTGAAGGCCAAATTCGAAGAGATTAAGGTATCTACAAAACATCCTTCTATGTAACAACTAAAACTTGCTGCAAAATTACCAACCTGAGAAGTCCACCTCCCAGGTGGTGGTTGCCTATGACCATATCCTGCTCGTTCATTGCCATAAGGATACGAATTTCGATCAAAATAAGTTGGACGAGGGTGATCACCATGAAAATATAGAGGTGTAGGGTCAAAAGGCGGGCCTTGACCAGCAACACGATCAGGATTGTGAGAATGTCCAATCGGTGATGGATAACCTGGTGAAGAAGCAGGATCATGCCTAGGTCTGAATGAAGGGGGTGGCATTTCTGGATAAGGGGCCATATAAGCCGGGCCATTGACATTCGAAAAATATTTCATAGGAAACATGGTTTCACGAAGTCTGCCTGTGATTTGAAATAAAGCATCCTGTACCGACTGTAAGCTGCCAATTACCTAAAGAAACAAAATAAGGGAGACTTCAAAAACATGTGGACATCAGGATGAAGCTACAATACAAAATGCCCCAAATATAAACAATTATCAACATAAAAAGAGCTTATAAGCAGATATTATAAGACCTACCTGCACAACTTCATCATTCGGCATACCATACTTTGAAACCTGTTCTTTAGGAAATATGTGTATGCTAGCACCAGTGATCCTTCTCATCTCAGAAATTATCATGCCACCTTTACCCCATAGACAGCCAATCTGCCGTGAGTGTACCAGAAGCCTAGCAACAATGGCTGCACCAGGTTCAAATCCAATCTCAGAAATTCTACCATGGACACGAATAACCGCATCCTGTGCCGGAGAATGCCTTTGCTCTAAAATCTGCATGACAATGGAACAAATTAATTAGAATTAGGATAAATAACTGTAGTTTATATGCACTTTGCAATCTCACATGCCTCTCGTGCAGATATTACAACCACCCTCTCGTCTGATTCAGGTGCTGAATCAGCAATTTTTATAGTTGCGCCAGTCTCTGTCTGCAGTGCTCTTCTGATGGAACCCCCTTTACCAATCAAGCTACCAACTTTGTCCACTTGACACAACAATCGGAACATAACTTCCTCTTCCATGGCCATCCGGTGGTGGTTCCCAACACCTTCGGTACCTGAAGCAGATAATGACCATTAATAAGATCATTAAGATGATTGTATCTTGAAAGCCAAATGTATAACCTTGTTATGGGAAAAGGTATACCATATCCATGAGGCATCAGCCCCATAGGCCTGTTACTGCCAGAGTTGGCTGCATCTGCTCTTGGGTTATCCTGAAGACAACTTGATACAGATAACAAAGCTTTCTTTACAGCTAAAAACTTTCCAGCCATCTGCATATAAGCAACATACAAATAAGCAAATATACGACTACATAACGAAATGAATGGGCAGCTGCATTGATCATCAGAAAGAAAAAATACAGCTGCATTAGAAGTATTTCCTGAAATCACTTCAATATCCACTAGGATGGTTATAGACTTCTTCAACTTGCTTTTCAATTATTCTTTAACTTACAGAGAAGGGTTTCTTTTACCATGTCTATAAAAAAGTCCAGTGCAAAGATCCCAGCTTCATTCTATAACTGTAGTAAATGCCTCCCAGCCTCTCAAAACCAAAAAAAAAACAAAAAAAAACTTTAAGAAGGTACCATTGTTATTTATCTCTAATAGGTATCTTTAAGGTTTCACCAATCATTTTTAGTTTTTAGACCTACAACAGAAACAATGCAAGTATAATAACATTTACTAGTTAACATAAGATGATACTGCAGATGTACCAGAATGGGTAATTAAATACTATGGATTTCTTTCAATATCATAAATAGAATGCACAATTATATGAACTATTCTTTCTTTCTACCTTCTTGAGGAGCTTGTTAAGGGAAAACTTAGTCACGTGTCCTTGTTTCTGATATCAAAAGAAACTAATGTTCTTCTCACTGTTCTGAGCTGAAATTTACCCCACACTGAGCCTACTATTGAACCTCACAAAACCTTTCACTTTCACCCAGTTACTAATATCTTCTACGTAAATAATATTTACACAGCAAACCTTTTTCCATGTCTAAGTAGCTATATAAAAGAAAAAGAAAAATAAAAAGAAAGAAAAAAAACAGGTTGCCAAAACCTTCCATATAATATACTCGTCTGCTTTGCTCCAAGACAAAAGTCATAAGCCATAGCAGAACATGTTTAATACCAATCAACAGTCTGTACCACAAAATTAGCTCAAACAGCAAGATGAACTCATAAGCAAAATATTTGACCATAACAAACGACCTGATACCAATAACTTGCAAAAAGTATATGAAGTCAAACTCCAGCACTATTGAAAGGATGTGGAAGATGCAGTAAACACTTGTAACATCTTTCCGAGGGTGAGATTGTATCATGATGTAATTTTACAAAAAGAAATAAAAAGGAAGTATTGCCTGGCTTACGTTGGATGTCATAAATAAATTGACAATCTCAGAAGTATCAAGCTTTTCATTTTTTCGTTCGCGGTTTCTGATCAAACGGGTAACTAACAAAAGTTTACAATAGGAGATGAATTCAAAAGTTAAAAGTGCTATTGTTTTAATCACAAAAGGATGTTAGAAATGCATTAAACATAGAACAAAATACACTGGTGTATTTTATAGAAACCATAATACATCAAAACAATTACCGAAAAGGGATAGCGATGCATTACATTATCAAATATGTGATACTTCTTAAGAAAGTAATTGAGCGAGTAAGCTATCTAATTAGCCACATACCTAAATCCCTACTCAAGAAGCCACTTTAATCAGCAAAAGGTATTAAATGGTGAGGCGAAGAAAATAGCCCAATGACTAAGCACTTGGATGTGGGTATATAAAGAATCAAAAATTTCCACTCCCTTTTCATACATACACAAAAAGTATCAACAGAGTTAAGCCATCTCCAATGCAGTTAGAAGAAGAGGCTTGTGCAAGCGGTAGTTTTGCCAGGAGAGATTTGAGTGGGAGGAATAGCTAAAGGAGTCGACATCAAATAGTTGTGAATGATGCTATTCATATCCTAGAACCCTAGGAGGTTAACGTGTTACCTGTCTGTAATTTCTATTACTTCTAGTTATTTTTGTCTATCCCTACTAGTTCAGAATGCGAGACTTGTTTAAAGTTGATGCGTAAATCTATCATTATGAGTTTCCCTTTAATTAGTTGCGATATTTGTATAGCGAAACAATCATTTGCTAAAGTAAGCCTGCATTTGCACTCACTGTCTTACCCAAACCTAACATGCTGAGAAAAACAAGATAAAAAATCACCAAATCTTTGGAAAAAATTTAACCCTTTAATTTGTTTAATTCAAGCATGGCAGGCAGGCAGGCACCCATATGAGATAATACATGACAGACTGTCCTGCTCCTGAATGGAGAAGGTCGAAACTCCACCATATACCTAACAGAGCACCATTAAAACATGAATCTAGTTATGCCAAAAGCACCACCAATCCATAATCACACTAATTAACTAAATTCCCAATGAGTATCATTGATACAACACAAACCAGATACATATGGAGCATTTTATGCACATTCAAAGACACCATATAAATTATATCACTTGTAGTTGAAGAATGATGGTATTTAGCATTACCTGAATCAACTCATCCCCAGGGGATGCACAATCTGGAAGTTGATCCTTGGGCAAAACCCTAACTTGGGCCCCAGTCTCCTGCCTGATCTTTTCAATGATCTTTCCTCCTCTCCCAAGCACACATCCAATCTGATTGCTTGCAGCCAACAATCTACATACCACGGGTCCTTGCGGTATCCCACCACTGCCTTGTGCAGAGTTGTCTTCACCATGATCACTTTCCTCCTTGGACATTTTACTTCGTTCTTCATCGACCTTCAATATCCTCTCAAATACCTTAAGCAATGCCTTCTGAGCAGGAGATTCTTCAAAATTAGAATTCCCTGATTCTTCGCTATTGGAATCCTCGTTGTTGTTATTAGCATTACCATCCCTGTTCTTAGAGGTAGAATCAGCTGCTATTATAAGGATCACACGCTCTTCAGACCCATGGGAAGAGTCGTCGATTCGAATTTTAGCTCCGGTCTCTTCACGAACCTGGCGGATGATGGCACCGCCCTTGCCGATGAGACCGCCGGTCTTAGTGGCGGGACAAAGAAGACGGAATAGGGTTTCTCCTTTGGGAGTGGCAGGGGAGGATTGAAGATGGCGGCGCTTGGTAGAAGAAGTGGGTGTAAGGTGAGGGTCAAGGGTGGAATGATCGAAGTGGCGCTTATTTGAAAAGGAAGCATCCATCGAGGATCAAGAGAGCTACCCACGGGGATAGTCCGATTATACTCGAGGCCACTCCACCCTGCAGTGCAGGTAAAACGTTAACCGTCGCAATCCACCGCTCTACCTCTTTCTATGAAATAATTCTGTATAGTAACAACAAACAAGATGGTTTTTTTTTTTTTTTATAATGAATCCATCCATAAAGTTATGAACGTCTGTAGCCAAAAAGACACTGTGTGCTTATATGATGAAGTTGTTTTTGGACGGAAACGGAAACGGAATAGATAGATCATCAAATCATGGATGGTCGACTCATGCTTCATAAATCAACTAGTTGCGTACCCGCGCAATGCGGCGAAAGCCGTGAATTTTAACGATTTTAAAGTTTCACTGGTTTTATAAGAAAAGATTTAACGATGATATGGGTTACACTTGGCCTTTACATATTAATACAATTTGAATAAATAAGAGTTATGGTTCCAATTACAGTCTATCGATGAAAAAGATTGTATGACAGTTTAAAATCCAACATATTTCTTATAAACAAATTATCGATGAAAAAATTGTATCTACGTTCTCATTTGTGGAACTCATTTGTTTTGTCTTGTCACTTCCTAATCATTTAAACAAACAAATTTCAGAATCATCTCAATAACAATACAAATATTTCTTATAAAGTTATGTCGTAACTTGAGTTTTAGTAGCAATTAGTTATGGACGACACTACATTATTTACACTTTACGTTTATTCACATTAATCAACTAATTAACATAAAGCTTTCAGGTTCTCTTTATTTTTGTTTTAATCTTGTCCCGTGATGTACGCATCTTATTTAAAGGGCTTCATGGAGGTTAGAGCAATGAATATCTTAGGGGCCGTTTACCAAACATTTACCCGGTAAGTGCTTACCGGTACAATTTAACACTATTATTTACTTATCGAGAAAGATTTTAGGCATCGTATGCAACAATTTACCCGGTAAGCGCTTACCGTGGTAAGAGTCGYYGCMCTCACTTACCGGGTAAGACTCTTGGTCCTCGTCTCGCTCTTATCGGGTAAGATTCTTGATCTTTTACCATATTCATCCGGTGAGGTAATGTTACTTGGCAAGCGCTCACCCGGGTAATCGTTTAGTAAAAGGCCCCTTCGTTAAACCCAAGTTTTTTACAGTAGACAAATCTTCCAGCATTAACTTCATGAAACTATAAATGAAAAGAAAGATAAAGTACAATTTGCCAATACCCACAAACTTCCTAATGATGAAAATGCTTCCGGCATCAACTTCATGAAACTATAAATGCCAAGAAAGATAAAGTGCAATTGGCCAATACCCACAAACTTCCTAATGATGAAAATGCTTCCTAATCTGGTTATTTATTTGAATATGAAGTTATACAAAGAAATCTTTAAACTGTCTTGACAGGCAAAGAACAAAACAAACTTCCATAAACAAAAAGCAACATGATCCATTTAAAATGCAAAACCACTCCTGCTAAATTGCTAATTGCATACAAAAAGATTGAAAAAAGAGATTATAATGACTCCTGCTAGCTAATGGCATACAGTACAGAAGTGACAGACAAAGAAGATGAGAAAATAATTATACATTTACTGTGATATAAATGTTACAAATCTGAAATGTATGCAAACAGCAACTGTAACTTTTGGGGTGGTGGTATCAGATGAAACCAAATACAACTCACATAAGAGGATGGACAACCCAAAAGATGTCCAAAATTAAGTTAAAGACATGATTTCTAATACCTAATTGAAAACCTTAGATCTCTGAACACACCTAGAGGCTCCTTGAGGCAGGGGCACTGCATTTTTGGTTGCTTGATTTTATCAGCCATTCAATTGTACCTTGGGTTTGAACTATACGGCTAACCTCGGTGTCTTCTGTTATTCTACCAAATGTAGTCAAATACATACCGGGGAGGCTTTTCTTTTGGTAAAAAACAGTCCTGTAAGTCCAAGACTACAAACAGTACAAGACAATAAATAATCTTCAAACTTAAATAGGAAGAATCCATAAGTATACTAAAACAAGTTGGAACTTGAAACATAACATGAAGTCGTCTTAAAATATGTTGCATCTCTAAAAGAATGATAAAAATGAATGATAGAGTTTGGATGCAAAGTGTTCGACCCAATGAAAAAATTGATAAAAAGGAGATAATGAACCTGGAAGTCCAGGACCACAAACAGTCCAATACCATGTCTCCCTATATAATAACAGCAACAAGATATATGATTGTCCTAAAATTACTAATCCTAATGCATTATAATTTCGACCTGCTCTAATGCTAAGAAAGCTTTTGACAGTGACATCCATGAGGATTTATATGGAACTATCTTCTAAATCTGTTTGGATTACTTTCTTGGCAAAGAGAGCAGGCTTTATGTCCTCTGACATAGTTTACACTTCACATGCAAGTCTTTCCCATCTTTGGTTTGATTCATTTATTAAATGATTCATTTATTAAATTTTACCTTGCCCCTAGGAACATATTGCAAACAATAGAGAATGCAAACAGTAGGAATAAAGAACATTATGATCATCATCAGCAACACATTGAATCAAACAGTAGGAACAAGGAACATGTGAGATAAAACACTAGGAAGATGTAGAATGGAGAGATCATAATGCAAACAATAGAGAATGCAAACAGTAGGAAGATGGTTGAAATGCAGTGATGCAAACCGAATGGATACTACAGAATTGGAGATATGATTGGTGTCAAGTACAAATTGATTTCCAGGCACTTCGAGACTGCTGGATGTCTCCAAGGCTCTCGCCCAAAACACACATGCCTTTCTAACCGCTCGCACCCTTTATCACCTAAAGCATGTACTCGTGCATTTTACACTTGTACTAATACTAAACTCCATGAGTATGAGTAAAATCAAATCATTTGAAATCATTTTACACTTTCAGTAGTTACCTCCACAAAAAGTTCAGTAGTTACCGCCACAAAAAGTTCAGTAGTTACCTCCACAGAAATCGCTTGAATCACTTGAAACCTCCACAAAATCGGTCGACTTGAAACCTCCAGACTGTAAACCACCAAATAACAGAGCACAGATACATAAGTCCTCAAATATCGACATGATGACCAATAGAATAACAAAAAGTAACGTTTACCATAATATACTTAAGGTTTGTAGTACCGATTTCTAATCATTTCCTCGCATCGTTAGTTGAAAACAACCCTAATTTGCTAATCATTTGCTCGCATCGTTGTAATGCTTCGCAGCTCTTTCTCAATGTCTCCTACAAACAACAAATTTTAATCGCATATAGACATGTAAATAAACTCGATCAAGAATACGAATACACACAAACACACCTTTTCGACGGCAGAATCATTTGCAAGGACATGTCTTCCATTTTCAGTGAACCCAAATCAAATAGCTTCTTTCACAATCAAAAACCCTAAAAAAATTGAATGTTAAAAACAAACCAAATAATTACCTGGAGATGGAGATGGAGATGGATTSAACGATGGAAGATTGAGAGAAATGCCTGCATGAATCGATTTAAAGGGAATCGTCGTATTGAGCGGTGGAAACTCGCTTTAAAGGGAATCGTCATCGAGTGAGAGAAATGCCTGCCTCGTCTTGGGGGAGGGACAACTTTTTTGAAACGTCGTATTGGGAGAGGGGAGCGATGTATTGGGGAGGGTAGCCGGGTAAAAGGAAAGGGTTGAAAGGGGAAGTAGTATAGACAAGGGTATTTTGGGTATTTACAAATTTAAGACTTTAAGACTTTGAGTGAAAATGTTTAATAAAGTAGTATAGATATAAGTAAAGTTTTGTCATATTTATCGCTTAACCAAAGATTTGTAACTTAAAACGCCATTTCATTATAATTGATTTCTAAACTCTACATATCCAACTTCTAACATTATATATATATATATATATATATATATATATATATATATATATATAAAGCATTTCACACAAATCTATTGTTATTGATATATATTACTTAACATCTAATATTACATACAAGTAAATGGCGCATTAGCACGACCTTTTAAAACTGAATCTTTGAATTCATATAACTAACTAATAAACACAATTAGATACATTATAAATATCTCGATTTAAATATAAATAATCTAAACTATAATTCGGATAATTATTGAATTACAATCGAATAATTAATTATTATCTTTAAAAAATATTATTATAACTGAAAAAATTACTTTGTTATCTATATCTATACTATCTTATTAAGTAAATTTAGCAAAAATCTTAAAATACTAAATGACCAAAATACCCTTTATACTATCTTACCTCACTTTTTCACCCTCTTCTCTCCTCACATACACTCACCCCGATTTTTTTAAAACTATAATTTTAAATTTACACTTTATACACCTGTAATTAATTAATTAATTTACTTTACGTCTTTTACTTTTAAATGCTTCATTTTAAACTTTTATCAAATTAACATACATAATCGTATATCAATTAAAACATGTTTAAAAAATGCATTTTTATTTTAACAAGTTACTCCATTATAATCGTCTCGTTATACCTTCGAAATGAGTCCAATATTGAATAGTTTTT